TAAAAAAAAAAAAAAGATATTTTGAGATAAAGTAAAAAAAAAAAAAAAAAAAAAAAAAAGAAGAGGAAGGATTTTGGTTTGTGGAATGGAAAGAAAATATACCTGATGTTGTTTACTGTCATTCAAGTACTATTTCCGTTTTCAACTTTGAGGGGAGGGTTTATGGTTGAAAAGCAGCTTGTTCTTATTTTCGGAAACACTTGTATTTCTGAATCCTATGCTTTGTAGTGTTTTGTATTGCATTGACTATTTTCTTTTAAAGGAAAAACCGGAAATTTGTCATTGCTATAGGAAAAATGATAATCTAGTAACATGTATGCGTATTTCCCCAGGTTACATATTTATTTTTATAAAAATTTCAAATCGGAAACTGAAAGTAATCAAATGGTTATTTTATTTGAGCTTAATATATGCTCCTTATGAACACATCGTGTGACGATGTCAACTTTTTCCACCACACGGGTTTGATTGTATTTCTCATCATCTCCAACTTTTTCTCCTTTTATCATCTTTTCTTTTTCTGTTTACTCTCTTTTCTTTTTCTGTTTACGTTTTTTTTTTTGTTTGATTCCCTAAATATTTCACCAGCCGTGCTGGAAATTGCAGGAAAATCTTGCATCTACAAGATTCTTACATATTGTAATCTTTGTCTTTATGCGTTATGGTGCATAACAAAAGGTTTTCTTAAGCTAGAGATGTAAATTTTTTTTTTTTCAAATTGCAAAACTAAGGAACGCTTTTTGGTATCCTCTTTACTTTTTTTTTTTTTGGTTGGTTTTGTTAGTGTACGGGTTTGATAGCATCTCTATACATCTATACATTCTTGGTTTGGATGTTAACATTACCTTCCTTTTTTGTAACATCATCTGAATCAAAATTCTCATCAACAATATCAGGCAAGGCATCACCAGTCTGTTGTAAATTTTGTTCAGTAACATCACCTAATTTTCTAATATCAAATCCGTTTTCTGTCAAGTATTGTAGGAAGAGTTTATCTTCATTATCGACCGCGTCTTGTCCTACTGGTGGCACAAAAAATAAAGTTAAAAGTGCACTAAACAAACAAAGTGCCGAACTCAAATAAAAGGGAACTTTCAATGCTAGTTCATCGCTGTAAGCATAGTGTTTTTGTATGGCTGGGAATACCCAAGTCCCTACAAATGCACCAATTTTGCCAGTAGCAGCTGCAATACCGTAGTATTGACCTCTTATTGGCGTTGCAGAAGTCTTTGCTGCCAATAACCCTGTATTATTACCAGGGCCAAACTCACCAAATGTCGAAAAGATACCAAACACTACAACGAATCCAGCAATGTGCCTTCTAAGGGAATTAAGACATGCTGACATAGCAAGACCAATAATACCTTGGATACCAACACCCAAGGCCAAAGTAAACCTTGGACCCAAGTAGTCATTGACTACAGCACCAAGGATTGTACCAGGCATATAGAACAAGTTGAAAACAACAGACCAGCCCCACTGTTGCCACAATTTCCCATTTGGTAAAACTTCTCCAATAATGATGGTGTTGAAAGTACCAAATGAATACACTGAAAAATCGTAAATGAACCAAATAAGTGAGACAATAGTTAATCTAAACCAGTAGAACTTTACTATCAACCACCATGGATAATCTTTATAGTTTACCCTCTTCATATGTAACTTTTGAAAAGATTGTGAATTTGTCATTTTCAATCTAATAAAGAAAAGGATTAATGGCGGCACCACTCCTAAACCAATACTTAACCTCCATACAGCTCTCAAGTGACGCTCACTAAAGATCCACAACAAGACCAATGGCACGAAACTTGAAACAACAAACCCAAAGTCGATCATGGTATTTGTAGCCCAGGAAAAGTATCTGTTCCTGTGGCCCGATGGTAATTGATTGGCAAACTCAGAAGCTATCACAGACGATGTTGGGTATTCTGATCCTATAGCTACACCAAGGAAAAACCGCCATACAGTCAAGCATGCAAAGAAACCTTGGACAGTCACACCCCACGATCCCACAGCACATAGCAAAGTGAACACAATCAACATTATGTTAGCGGCCATCATACCTCCTTTTCTCTCAATACGGTCAGATATATAACCAAAAGATAACTGTCCAACAACAGTACCTACAAAAGCAATAGATCCAATATTATTGATAGCATTGGACTTGGTAAATTCATCACCATAAATCCTCTTCAATGCTGATAAAACAGTACTAATACCGTTATTGACATACCCATCGGAAAACAACCCGGCACCAGAGGCAAATGCAGGCCATAAATTCCTTACTTTAACTTTCGTCTCTATATAATCTTCGTCGTCTTCATCTTCATATTTGGTGTATTCATCGCTAGTGGTATCACTATGCAATTTGGCCTTTTTGTCAAGTTTCATCAACTCGTCCTGGGTTTTTGTTATAGTCATTTCATCTCTGATCCGACCTACCCATCCAAAGCAAAAATCGCCAAACGATTTTGGTAAATCTCTTGTGGCCATTGTTGAAATACTAAGTAGTGTTTGAGAGAAAAACTTGTCCCAAAATGAGTACTCTCAACTGGGGATTTGCCCATTCTATATATACTACAAGGCCCTACTCATGGTATACACATGTTCAAGTTTCACTTGCTATTATAATGCATTGACAAAAGGGCATAATTTTCTGTACTAATAGGAAATATACATTAGATAATGATTTTTTCAAAAAAAAAAAAAAAAAATAATAAGGAAACGTCAAAGGAAGGAAGTTGGTTAATTGATTTCAACATTGTTTCTGAACATAGTTTGACAATAAAAGGTATTCGTATATTTTTTTTAGACTAAAACTTTAATCATTGTCAACGTGGAAAAGGGTTGACTTCCTCCTCCAACGAGTAAGACTGTCTGCATTGTTCGTCAATACATACTTTTACAATTGAAAAAACCACTGTTTAGAAAGTTCTGAACTGGTGTTTTTCATTCTTTTTCAAGAGAAATATGAGAATGAATAAATCCAATGGTATTGGAGCGCTTTACTACAAAATATCATCGTGTTTTTTTTTGCTCGCTCTGCTCGATAGTGTCCATGATTTGCACCCTTTTCCTTTTAATTGCAAATGTGATTTCTCATTTTGGAGGGCACGGCACGAATCTGTCAAAATAATTAACAATCAAACGTACAATTATTTTTTTTTTATATTTTTTTTTGCCTTTGTGTCAAAAGACATTTTAGATTATCGATAAAGCTACCGATCTGAACAATTTATATAAACGTTATAGTTTTTAGGAGGTTAAGAACATAAAAAGGTGGCACGTGTGCCAAATCTCTCTTCCTCATCACCCTTCTTCCCCCCTTTCTTTGCTTATTGCTGACAATGTCAAAAAAATTATTAATAGAGCGACACTAGTGAGCAAAGCGAGCTAGTGGAGCAGTATGTAGAGAGTAGAGATCAATCTACTGAATCCTGTTCTTGAAAAGTAATAGTAGCTTACAAGTTGTATTTGAATTAGGGGCCTCTACAATGCTGAATTTTTTTTTCTCAGAAATCGAGCAACTTGCGGTACACCCAGCTATTCAGACATGCGGTATACCCAGTCACTCAGATAGTGCATGTAGAATGTGAGATAGAATCGACTCAAAAGCTTTTGTTATATCACCACCAAATCTGTACGAATGTGGTACACTGAGGATACATACAAATAAAAGTCCTTTTTTTTTTCTTTTTCTTTTCTTTTTTCTTTTCTTTTTTTTTTTTGCAGCCTATAACAAAGAGATCTCTTAACCAAACTTTTGTTAAAATTGATCCTTCTCTTAACACACGTGCGTATAAAAAAGCGCCTCTATCTTTCTAATTTGTCTAGACTCAAGCTATACTAATCCAACTGATATTCGTTCTGCTCATTAATTCTCAATGCCACCGCAAAGTTTCAAACCGTTCTTGCTGTTTTTTCTTTTGGAAAAAAAAATAAGGCTACATGATACATGTTGAATTATTGGTATTAAGGCAGGAAACAATTACTCAGAAATTACTAAGTCAGATTCTATTGCAAACGTTTTATTAAATACACCTTTAATTACATATGAATACAATAGGGAAATAAAAACTTATGAAAAAAATGAAGGAAAATCATTTTTCTTCAATCTGTTTTTTTTTCCCCCTCAAACAAAGAAGATACACTTTGTAGCTTGTTACAACACTATCTGGCACTGCTCGATAGTGTTTGCTTTTGAAGGCTTATAAAGATTTTTGTTCAATATTGTAATCGTCGCTTTTTTGTCTCTTTAAGCTATCTATTTCTTCTTCTTCAGTAGTGCTTCCATGACTTTTTACTTGACCGAGTTCGCCCAAAAGGGTAATATCGAATCCTTTGTCTTTCAAATAATCAACAAAATCGTTATCTTCGCTGTTAATAGCATCCTGGCCAACGTGAGGTAAGAAAAACAATGCCAAGCAAGCACTAAATAAACAGAGACCTGAACTGATATAAAATGGAACTTGTAACTTTAAATCTGGATTTGTCTCAGAGTCATATTTCTTTTGGATGGCCGGGAATACCCAAGCTCCCACAAATGCGCCAATCTTACCAATAGCAGCTGCAATACCATAATATTGACCTCTAATAGCAGTGGCAGATGTTTTAGAAGCTAATAAGCCAATATTATCACCCGGTCCAAACTCACCAAAAGTTGAAAAAACGCCAAACACAACAACAAACCCTGCGATATGTTTCTTTAAGCTCCCCAAACAAGCAGACATGGCAAACCCAATCACCCCTTGACATCCAACACCAAAAACTAAAGTTAATCTTGGTCCGATGTAATCAGCGGCAAGGGCACCAAGGAAAGCGCCGGGGATATAAAATAAATTAAAAACTACTGACCAACCCAATTGTTTCCACATTGGAGCTTCTGGAATAATTTCGTCAATGATAATAGCGTTGAAAGAACCAAACGAATAAGCCGAAAAGTCGTAAATAAACCAAATAAGTGAGACAACAGTTAATCTAAACCAGTAGAACTTCACTATCAACCACCATGGATAATCTCTATACCGCACTTTTTTCATGTGTAATTTTTGGAAAGACTTGGAATCTTTCATTTTCAATCGAATGAGGAATAGGGATAATGGTGGAATGACTCCAAGACCAATTGAGACTCTCCATAATGCACGTAAATGTCTTTCTGTAAAGATCCAAATCAAGACAAAGGGAACAAAAGCAGACATAACAAAACCCGTGTCAATCATTAAATTGGTAAACCAACTAAAGTATCTATTTCTTTGGCCCGATGGTAATTGATTGGCAAACTCAGAAGCTATCACAGACGATGTTGGGTACTCGGCACCTATAGCTACACCAAGGAAAAACCGCCATACAGTAAAGCATGCAAAGAAACCTTGGACAGTCACACCCCATGATCCCACAGCACATAGCAAAGTAAACACAATCAACATTATGTTAGCGGCCATCATACCTCCTTTTCTAGCAATACGGTCAGATATATAACCAAAAGATAACTGTCCAACAACAGTACCTACAAAAGCAATAGATCCAATATTATTGATAGCATTGGACTTGGTAAATTCATCACCATAAATCCTCTTCAATGCTGATAAAACAGTACTAATACCGTTATTGACATACCCATCGGAAAACAACCCGGCACCAGAGGCAAATGCAGGCCATAAATTTTTTGCTCTAACTTTTGTTTCTACATATTCTTCATCTGATGATATTGATGATGAAGGAACTCCCAAATCAGGTAAATGGTCGTGCTCTTTCTCCTCAATAGAATTTGGGTTCAAAAACGTTATCTCACCTGGTATACGTCTTGCCCATCCTGTGCATAGCTCATTAAATGATCCGGGTATATCTCTTGTAGCCATATTCCTTTTAGTCTATTACTATCTTTCTTGTATAATCTAATTATACTTTAGCAAAAAAGAAGAAAAAAAATAAAATATTGAAGCTATTTTGCTTGAGGGGTGGTGAAGAATAGTAAGGGGTACGGGGTAAAGGGGTACGAAGGGGGGGTTGAATATAGTATATTTGAAATGAAAACGAGATTTGAAGAATTAAGTTAAAGGCTAAGCTGGTGTTATAGCTTGTTGTAGAAGTAATGCGTTGTTGAAAAATTGAAGAATAAAAAGTAACAGAAACTATGCAATATTTATATATGTAGAGTGAAAAATTATTGTATGGTACAAAAGTATTGTAGACGACTTGATCATCCAATCTTTTGTATTACTTACAGTAATACCCTTACTGAATTGCCTTACTGAATTCCTTCTTCTTTTTTGACTCTTCACTTCTCTATAGACGTAACAACTAAATAAGAAGCTAATAATTAGAAAAGCACCAAACTTGCTGAATACTCACAAGATATATGGGATAGATTACCAATTGAAATAATTAAAGAACCAAAAAAAATTAATAAAAAAAAAAAAGACATTACAAGTGGGAGGTTTAAAATTTCGCCATTTCACTAAGCCCAATCTTGAACCCAAAAATATAGCGAGAAATTGGTATATTCTTTGCTACAAACGTGCACTAAATTTACATTGCAGAGAATTCTTGGGAAAGGCACATTCTGTATATATTTCAACTGAGGCGGTGATCCTATTGTTCACCATTGGTTCATTTTTCAATCAACCAGTAGTTAATAACAATAGCCTGGTTACGTTGTGAGCTATTTGTTTTTTCAATATCAAACGTACTTTCCGAGTTTTCTATAATTGGTGTTAATTATTTATTGTCAAAGTTTGATAACTAGAAATACTATGGTCAAAAATTAGTTTGACAATCAATTGCCAAATTTTTGAAGTAAAAGGGGATAAACTGCATGGTTGTGGACCACCCAGAAATTGGAAAACGTGGGCCTCTTTTTTCAAAGTTAATGGAAAAAATCAATTAAAAAGAAAAAAAAAAGAACTTTTCAAATTTGCTTTTCCTTTTTCTTTTTCTTCAAAAAATTTTTTGCTTTTTTCACAATAGTTGAAAGTACAGACAATGCACGTGAGACTATGAAATGAAATGCCATGCAGATCACTATCGAGCAGAGCGAGATAGCAGCAACAGCGTCAGCTTTTGCTGAATAGTGAAGAGTCTCTGAAGCAACAGCGTCAGCCAGTGTTGCTCTACTATCGAGCAGAGTCTCTGACTGAGCTTTCGAAATTGAATCAATATTCAAACACGTTTCTCTCCTTTTCTACGTTTCTCTCCCTTTCTACAAAGTGTTGCTCCACTATCCCGTTCTGCTCGATAGTAGGGCCAACTCTGTTTTAGGAAATATGTCGCACATAATTCATTTTATTTGCTTCTTTGTTTATTCTTTTCTACTTTTAAGTTGAAGAAAAAGGGCAGATATGTTTATATATATATGTCATAGTTAGTTGTGTGAGAGAGGGTAAGGTAAGTGGCGAGTAGATGTCAGTAAACACTTAATAACACTGTCGACACTAGCTGCCACCGATACTATCTCGCTCTGCTCGACAGTGGAACATACTAGCTGCGACTGATACACCTCTAGCCGCGAGTAGTAGCAGCCAAATATTGAGAATCTACTCTTGCGCCACTATCTCGCTTTGCTCGATAGTGGAGCAACACTTTGTAGCTTATAGAATAAGAGTTGGCGTACTTATCTATCCCCACGAAATGGCATTTTGCAGCCTAAATCTAAAACTTTTATTTTCTTTTTTCGCAGCCAAAAATTTGAAATAATTTTTTTGTTTACGATTTACCCAAGGATATCCAGTGTAGCACTTTGCAGCATGAACTAGAGAAAATCTGAAAAGGTCCACCCCACCCGCGAGGAAGCAAAAGGTAAAAGATGCATAAGAGAGACTGTAACTAAAGAGAAAAAGGCAAATAAACATAAAAATGACTAGACAAATGTTTTTATTCACAGGTCTTATCCGTACTAAACTTGATATCTAAATAAATATTCTACTAACAAATGATAATCAATTTTACATTGCTAAATTATGCTTATGTTTTAGAATTTGGTCTCCATTCAACGGTGTATTTCAATTCATCACCTGCTTTGAATGGAACTACATTCACATCGCTATTTCCAATAACCATAGACACTTTATTCTTCCTCTCTACCAACCAAACTGATTCATCACCATGCTTGTCTAAGATTGTCTTATCTAACCCGTAGTACAGGATACCATTACTGCCAATGAATTTTGGTAAATTTTGTAACTTCCCTTCCTTGTCGAAAATTTCAGCAACATAACTAACAGCATCTGATTGTGTATACACACCAGCACATACACCCACATGTACTTGCTTAGTGTGTATTGGGTGAGGAGCAGAATCTGATCCGAAAAAGAACCATGGTTCACCACTTGTTGCTGCGGCAATTAACGATTTTCTATCCTTTTGAAATTTAGCAACCGGCTTACAAAAATTTATTGGATTTCCTGCCCAATTGTCAATGATCAAGTAGAGATGATGCGCAGTGATCGTTGCTGCAACATATATTTCATCTCCTGCTTTCACATCCTGGTTCAACTCACGCACCAAGTCAATCGCCTCGTGTGTGGTGCAGTGTTCCAATACAATTTTCAATTTGGGGAAATCATCATGTAACTTACGTAATGCGGGCAAAAACCTGGGTTCTGCGTTGATAACGTTAATATCGTCTCCCTCTTCTTTAGTACTTGGCTTTTCCCCGTGTAGATTGAGCACTAACCCCAATTCCTGCATTTTAGCGAAGAGCGGATAAAACGCACTAAAATCATTTGGATCAACTCCATATTTTGAATTTGTTGTAACTCCTGCCGGGTAACACTTTATACCATGGATCAAGCCTGCGCATTCTTCAAGAAGCTCAGGAGTCAAGTCCTTGGAAAGATAAAGAGTCATAAGGAAAGTCGTCTTTGGTGCTAATGACTGGAGTTTGGCGTGATACTCTACAACTTGCTGCTTTGTAGTAACTGGCGGGACAAGGTTTGGCATCACGTAACAGATTGCAATTCCTCCCGATCTTACTGTAGGTGTGATTAGTTTACACATTGGTCCATCACGAAGATGGACATGCATATCTGAGGTTATACCCAAGTTTAGACCTGTCATAGCCCTTTATTTTCCTTTATCTTATAGTGAATATATTGGAGATGGGTTTTTTTTTTGTTTTTTTTCACTTTTTTTTTTTCATGTATTATTTTTCCCCATGAATTGGTCCTAATGATATATACTTGATATAAGTAGTATCTTGTATTTCAATTATTTATTAACCAAGATATTAGGATGTTTCAAAGGTTGTTACCATTGTAGTAAAGATAAGAGTAAGCTGGAAATTTTTCTACTACGAGCCTTGCTTGAAAAAGAAATCATATATATATATATATATATATTCATTTGGAAAAATATAGATAGAAAGCCTAAAGCTAACACCGAAACACAAGTTGCATTCAGATATAGTTACATCCGGACCAAAAGTTAACCCCTGGAGGAGGTAAAACTCACATCAAGTCACTGTCAATAACGCGTTTGATTTCATTGGGTTCAGGTCCAATAACCTTATCAATCAATTTCCCCTTTTTGAAAAACAATGTAGTAGGAATAGAACTAACCAGGTAATCATCAGCCAATTCCTTTTCCTTTTCAACGTTACATTTGTAAAATTTAACGTGTTTGTTTTGAGTTTCATACCAGTCGCTAAACTCGTCAAGCTTGTTGTTCATGTTAGAGCAATGGTTACACTCGTCAAAGAAATCAAGAACGATCATATCGTTTTTGTTTTGCAAAGCTGAAGTGAATTGTTGTTTTGATTGGATATTTTGTAACATTGCGAATTAATTGAGTCGTGGTATAGAGGATAACAAGAATAAGGTTTAGTTAATGAAGAGAAGGTGACAAATATTCATGAACTGACCCTGGTTCTTATACTTCTTTGAATTCTATAAGCTGAATGCAGTTTTATGTAACCTAGTTAAGTTGCTTTAGGGGGGGGGAGAGAGGAAGGAAAGGGTCTCAAAGGGGATGAGTTCTAGAACCATTCTTTACAGCCAACTTTGTAAAAATCTCGCCAGATTTTCGTTACTAATCTATCCTCTCCTCTTCCCTGTTTTCTGCGCCACCCCTTCCTCCTCTCCTTACCCCCTTGTTTGTTTGTTTTTTCGTTTTTTTTTTTTTTTTTTGAATGTTATAGTTTCCTTTTCCCCATATTCCATTTGGTGGTTGATATCTTTATCGCTTGCGGCACATAAATATTCACTACTGAAAAATAAAAAATAAAAAAAAAAAATAAAAAAGATTAATTGAAAATGGTCTTCTACATCTTACCATGGGTTCAGTCTTTTTACCTCATTTGAGGACAGGGTGGCACGTTGACCAAGCAATCTTATCTGAAGATGATCGAGTTGTTGTAATTCGATTTGGGCGCGAAGAAGAAACTCAATGTATGATAATAGACGAAATATTGTTTCTGATATCAGAGAAGATCAAGAACTTTGCTATCGTATACCTTGTTAATCTAGATAAAGTGCCTGACTTTAACCAGATGTACGAGTTGGATCAAAATAAACGAGAACCATATACTTTGATGTTTTTTTATAGAAATAAGCATATGTTGTGTGATTTCGGTACGGGAAATAATAATAAATTGAACTTTCCAATTTATGACAAACAAGAATTGATTGACATTATAGAAACAATTTATAGAGGGGCTAGAAAAGGTAAAGGTTTAGTAATGAGTCCCAAGGATTACAGTAGAGTTGCAAAGAATATATAGAGAGATAAAACACTATCACACTATTGAGCGACACTATCGAGCGACACTATCGAGCGACACTATCGAGCGAAGCGAGATAGTACTGTAACGAGCTACTGGGTGTTGCTCCACTATCGAATAGCACTATCGAACGATGCGACCTACAAAGTGTTGCTCTACTATTGAGCAAAACGAGATAGTATCTCTCGATAGTGTCTCTCAATAGTGTCGCTCGATAGTGTAGTAACAAGGCACTGAGTGTTGTTCCACTATCTAGCTCTGCTCAATAGTGGAGCAGCACTAGCACCGACACGCTAGAGGAGAGATGAAAGGAGGGAAAAAGCAAAAATAACAAATAAAAACAAGTTTTTCTTCAACTTGTAAATATATGTAAGGTTAAATTTAATCAATTGTCTTCATTTTGAGCGTAAAAGAAGTTTACTGCTAATAATTTTGAACCAGGGGCTTCTTTTTTGATCCAGTCTCTTACACCGCTGCTTGGAACTCCAGTACCCCAATTTGGTCTGTCCTTTGGAGTAGTTGGCTTGTCAACCTTAGGATCTTGTTTGTATAATAAAAACACATAACGGTGCTTGCCGGTTTTGGGTGGTGGTCCGGGGCCAAGATAAGGATATAGTTCATTACCTTGTGTAGCATCAATAAAATGACTGATTTTAGGCTCACCATCTTTGGTATTAGTATCAGGTAATTTTATATCTGTAACTAACCAGTGCAAGTACTCTGACCATTTATGGTCACTATTTGACGGAGCATCGGGATCAGTAACAACCAAAATAAATTTATCAGCAGGGTCAACACTTTCAATCTTGCCGTCTTCAGTTGACGAATTCAAAGTCAATTGAATTTTGGGTGCGGCTTTGGTACCTGCAACAGTTAATGTATTACCCAAAGTTACCAATTCGGTGGGACCATATTCAATTGTTAATAAACCTTGAGTGTCGAATTGATCAACAACTTCAGGAATAATTTTATTCTTGGTATATGCCTCATCTAAGGATTGTGAGATTGTGATTAATGTCATTTTGGAAAGGAGTAAATGAGGTGTTCTTGGTCTATATTGTTTAGTAGGTGTGTTAAAGCAAGTCTTTAAATTTGATGAAACAAATAATAATCTTTTCAAAGGAGTAATTGACCTAATAAATCGATTCCTATATATGATCTTTACTGAATTACTCAACATCAGCTAAAAGAAAAAGCAAGAGAAAAGAAAAGAAAGAAAAGGAAAATTTCCAAAATAAAAAAAAAAGGGAAGGGGAGGTAGGGGGTGGAGGGAAGAAGGGGGGGTGCGAGAAAGTAGCTCGAGCAAGGGGGAGGAGGAAATTGGTGGGCGAGGGAGTGTGAAAGAATTTTATTTGGAAAGTTCTAAAATTAAGGGGGGTTGAGTATACAACGAATTAAACCTATTATATTTTATTAAATGGAAAAAACTTCGCAATTGAAGAACGGATCTTTAGGCAATTTAGAAGGAAAAAACCTGTGGCCAGAAGGGACCGAATCGTATGAGCGAGCGTGTACTGTGGAATTTGGTAGCCAGTGTCGTCGGAAATGAAGAAAAAAGAAGTGGAAAAAAAAAAATATACGACATTTTTCCACGACAAAAAATTGTTTCTATTGCACCATTTAATGTAATCTCTAAATGAATCTGGACCAGTCTTCCAAACATACATCTCTCCCCACTTGTAAAACCACACACTTTGTACAACACTGCTTAGTGCAACTTTATACAACACCGCTTACATTCACCTTACACCACTTTATACAACAAATTCTGTTTACTGTTACATGTAAAAACTGTTAGTTTTATCTAATAAAACAATTGAACTATATCAAGTATTTTTTTTTTCTCTCCGTTACTCAGCTAATTAATTCCAAAGTTGACCTTCCTCTCCTTGCGCTACTTGCTGCACCTGTACATTCTCCCGTCCCAGTTGTTGTGCCGGTTGTTGTTGTAGTAGTGGCTGTTCGGTCATGTGATGCTGTTGGTGATGCTGGACCATATGCTCTTCCTGATAAGAATTCCTCGACGAATGCGGATACGACTTTTTAGGTTTCTCTTCTTCCCTTGGAACAACATCAATTAAAAAATCAAACATATCGCTCTTGGTTGAAGCGGCCGCAATATCCGACTTCTGTAGAGTTCTTCGCTTGTTTTCCTCTGCATGGATCCAAGCTCTCATAGTTAGCTCAGTTATAAAAATGTCACATCCTTTAGCAAACAAAATCGGCGCTTCAGCACTAATCATTTTCACATCTTGATCTGTTTTCATAACTTTTTTAATCCTTGCAAGTGGCAATTGATGCGTCTTGAAATCGTGATTATCGTTTTCAATAGAGTTAATTGTATCTTGCCAATATTTCATTATGTTTTCTCTATGACGTCCTTCGAGTCCGGCTTGCACATTGTTGAAAACATCGCCTGGCTGGTTTTGTTGGGCTGCTGCTGCTGCCTCTGCTGCTTCCTGAGCCGCAAGAAGCTCGGCTTCAGCCTCGGCTTCGGCTTCTTCATCCATACTGTTCAGTTGTTCATCTAATATTGCTTGTTCGGCTTCTGAATCCCCCTCGGGCTTTACACGATATGGCATAGCTATGATTGTTTTTGGGGGTACTGAAATATCGTTTGATGTTTATATGTTTTGTTTTTATTTTTCATTTTTCTTTAACCTTTTTTTTTTTTCAACTAGAATGTAAAAAGAATACCATACTCAATTATGTAGCTACACCTAATCAAGTACTAGCTTGTGCTTGACTGTTGTGAAGAGTTCTTTAATTGCAATCTTTAAAAAAGAGCTGTGGATCTCTTGAGGGTTATTTTTTGAGAGTCAATACGTTCATCCAACACTATCGACTAGAGCGAAAGCGACACTATCGACCAGAGCGAGATGGTGGAGCACACTAGCTCTTAACACTAGCTCTTAACACTCGCTCTTAACACTAGCTCTTAACACTAGCTCTTAACACTAGCTCTTAACACTCGCTCTTAACACTAGCTCTTAACACTCGCTCTTAACACTAGCTCTTAACACTAGCTCTTAACACTAGCTCTTAACACTCGCTCTTAACACTAGCTCTTAACACTAGCTCTTAACACTAGCTCTTAACACTAGCTCTTAACACTAGCTCTTAACACTTTGCTCGATACTGTCGCATACTAGCTCTTTACACTTTGCTTGATACTGTCGCACACTAGGTCTTAACGCTTTGCTCGATGTTCTCTTTGACTCCTTTTCTCAGGGGCTCGTACCTTATTTTATTTTTTTGACGAGGCAATGAGGTGAGATACCTATAAAATCGTTCCCCACAGATGGAATGGGCCCCAGTCTCATCTGCAAACAGAAGAATTACAATGCTAGTTGCCAGAATAACTATTTATCATAAGCTTTTATCGAAGATTATGGTTACATACGATTACAACCCACCAACCTTTTGTTGTTGTTCACACATGGACTCTCCTAAGAATGAACTACTCTCCTACAAACAAACTACCCTCCTCCAAACTGGCTACTCTGACTACTCTGACTACCCTCCTCCAAACTGACTACTCTGACTACTCTGACTACCCTCCTCCAAAATGACCGACTCTCAGTATTTACCGGGTCTCGCTATTTGCCTGCTCCGCTACTCTCTACTCACGCCTGCTCCACTAGATCGCTTCGCTATCTATTGTCGCTATCTCACGCTAGCTTTCTCTTCTTTACTTCACCCTTGTCTGCTCCTTCTCCTGCTGCTATTGATGATGATGATGATGTTGCTGTTTCTCGCGGACAGCACATCACTGATTCAAGATCAATTACTCTTGACAACAAGAGTTTCAAAAATAATTTGATATCCTGGACACTTTTCTCAAGACTCAATAATCTGTTTTCAAGTTCATTTTGAGTCTTGAGCTGGTGGTGTTGTGTCTGCAGAAGCTGATCATTTTGCTGCAGCAATGAATCAACTGTACTTATAGTTGCATTTAATAGTTTAAACATATGCTCAACATTATCAGACTTGGGTTTTGCTTCTATTAACTTCTCGACTTTAACAAGCTCTTCTAGTATCAGCGGCAATAGCCTTTGGATTATCGTGCTCTTGTCAACTTTGATGGTAGCAACCTCTGTCAGAAGCTCTTCTACTTTTGACGTTATTGGAGTCATATCATATTTGGACGCAGCTTTAACCACAGTAGATGCCTTTTCCAAGCACTCTTTCAAAGTAATGGACTCCAATTCCAACCTCGCTGCTCGTTGTATTAATGCTGCTGATTTTTCATCTATGTCAAATTTAGCTTGATTCTTAGCATTGTTTTGCAAGGAGGAAAAGAACAATTCAATATCATTTGAAAAGTCATCCACCATAGTATCCTCTTCATCTCTTTGAGACTTTTCATCATCATTCACTGTCATTTTTCCCTACAACTAGTCCTTGCCCTTACCCTTTATCTCTTTGTTGACCTATTCTTATTTTTCTTTTTGCAGCAAAACTATCTTCACATTTGTACCACTTTCTGTTCAAGCGAAAAAAGAAAAAATAAAAAAATAAAAATAAAAATAAAATTGAAACTCATCAGATGGATTAAACCCCGGTTGTTCGTTATACTACAACAAATGTCAGACCTCAAGTTATTTTTAGGAAGTATGTGCCGAATTTTATGGAGACTTGATCAACTGTATATTAACCTGAACTAACAAAAACCACAGAAAAAGTTAGCGTGATAACTACAGATGCAAGATACTTTGAAGGAATACTAGAAGGATTCGATAGAAATACAAACATTGTACTAAATAAATGCATAGAACGGATAATATACCAAAGCAAGGAAAATGAAGAGAATGAAGAAATACAAAGTGGGGTGAATATAATGCGAGGGAATGAAATTGTGTGTATTGGAGAAATTGAAGAAAAACTATATCCCAATTGGAACCAAGTCAAAGGTTTACCATTGAAAAGTACAAAGAATCCCCTATAAATTGATACACACGGATACTTTGCAATTGATACACACAGATACTTTGCAATTGATACACACAGATACTTTGTAGCTTGTTACAACACTATCTCGCTCTGTTCGATAGTGTCTTGTAGCTTGTTACAACATATCTCGCTCTGCTCAATAGTGTCTTGTACCTTCTTAACTAAAGGTATACCAGCTTGATACATTTTTATTGCTAATTCTAATAGATAATCGATTGCCTCGTTATATATCTTGGCTTTCCAAACAGTTTCACCCCAAACATATATTCCGTGTCTTCTCACCAAAACTGCTGAAGCTCCTGGAAAATTTTTGATTGCTTCTTGTAAAGAGTCGGTTAAATCTTCTTCGTGTGGCGTATTTTCTATAATTGGTATGGTCAATGTATCGTAATATTCCAAACTTGCCACTTTTTCCACCTTGCTGCTCTCTTTGTTATATACCAATTTGGGCAAAGCTTTAATCTGTTCAATATGGCTGATTTCAAATTGGCTCTGATTTTCAAAGAGTAATGTGATCATCACTGCGTTTTGCGAATGCGTATGTATACAAGCTCCCGCGTCTCTCATTTTGTAACAGCTCATAAACAACGGGGTACATGCACTTGGCTTGTACTTGTATTTTTTTGTCAATTCATCAGGAATATCATTGGGAGTACGCAATAATTTTTCATCTGGTAATTCAACCAAAAACATTTCCCATGGCTGGATTCTCTCCTTTTGTACCCCGGATGGCGCAATATAGACGAGATTTGGATTTGGACCTTCAACATCTCTAATCGAAATTCCGCCTCCTGTGCCTGTAACCCAATTGTTATCATAGAATAATCTGCACAACTCACAAATTAAATTGGCTGGGTGTAAAGGATTAGCAAATTCCTTTTCGAGTTCTGGTGACAAGGCCGCCAAACTCGTACTTTGCGATACCTTATCTACATGTTTGCAATTGCATGGAGCCGGCATTTTGGAGAAATGTATATATATATTTGTGGGATGCGAAAGAAGAGAATTGCTAGTAATGGAAAATTGCAAAAATTTGAGAGTTTTGAGAATTGCCTTGGTTCACGTGGGGGCACTATCGAGCGAAGCGAGATAGTGGAGCAGTACTGACTACACCGACTATCGACACTATCGAGCGAAGCGAGATAGTGGAACAACACCAGCTGCCACCGACACCAACCTTATCGATCGAGCAGAGCAAGATAGTGTTGCAAGAAGCTACTGAGCTCCACTATCTCCCTCTCCTCGATATTGGGTCTAGTAAAAAACTCTAGTGACACCACCTCGCTCTGCTCGATAGTGTTGTAACAAGCTACTGAGAGTTACTCCACTATCGAGCGAAGCGAGATAGTGTCAATAGTGTCGATAGTGCCATTAACAGTCAGTACTGCTCCACTATCGAGCGAAGCGAGAAAGTGTCGATAGTGTCGATAGTCGGTGTAGTCAGTACTGCTCCACTATCTCGCTTCGCTCGATTCGCTCGATAGTGCCATTGACAGTCAGTACTACTCCACTATCTCGCTTCGCTCGATAGTGTCGATAGTGTCGATAGTGTCGATAATGCCGATAATGTCGGTCACAAAATTGAATGCGATGCTACAGGAGAGAAAAAAACAAAAGGTATAACCAAGGAATCTTATCTAACCCCACCTTGCCTAGATCCACAACAAAGTACAGATAGCATAGCTGCAGATTTCCTCCATGTCTGGGTTAGAACAATCACTTTTCCAGCTTAAATTCACAGCTAAACAGCTTAACAGACAAGCAACAAAAGCTGCGAAAGAAGAGACACAAGAAAAGGCTAAAGTTAAAAAAGCATTGACTCAAGGCAATAATGATATAGCCCAGTTATATGCACAAAACGCAATACGAAAAGCTAATGAAAGAGTCAACTTGTTGAGATTGAGTTCAAGGATTGACGCTGTTGCTCTGCGCATACAAACCGCGGTAACTATGAGGTCCGTTACTGGTAACATGACCCAGGTTATTCGAGGAATGGATAAAGCTTTACAAACAATGAATTTGGAACGAATAAGTTTGGTGATGGATAAGTTTGAGAGCCAATTTGAAGACCTAGATTCAGCAACTAATTACTATGAAACTAGTACAAACAACGTTAATGCAATGACTACTCCTCAGGATCAAGTTGACGAATTATTGAACCAAGTTGCCGACGAGGCAGGTATCGAAATGAAACAAGATTTGAATGCTGCTCAGGTTGACATTAAAAGTCCCGTATCCGCTACAGCTATCCTGGAGGAGAAAGAAGACAAATTGGCCGAGAGATTGAGAGCTTTGAGAAGTTAGTATATATATATATATATATATATAAAAGAAACTGATAGATTAGAAAGTGGCAAAAAAGGAGGGCCCCGCAAAATAACAAGAAATTTCGAAAAAAGAGTGAATATGCATTTAACTATCATTATAAATTTTTATTCTAGCTTTTCATCTGGCTTTGCTCCTCCTTCTTGATAATATATGTTATAATTTTTACTAAATCTTGAAAACCTTTATCGTTTCCCTTGACTCTCATTATATGCAAAGATGATGAACTTAACAAATCAATAACTTCAATTCTGAATTTGAGTTTTCGTCCATGGGAAAATTTACCGGGAATCGTACCTGCAATGAGGCCAAATTCTTCATCAATACTCACTTTGGTCACCGATCCTTCAAGCTCTTTCAACTCCATTTGGTTTTTGATGACTCGCATAAGGTCTGATGCTCTTAATGCAGAATCAATAATTTTGATATCTTTACTAGTATAAAGATTTGAAATTGGTTTTCTTGACGTGGTGGTAGTAGTAGTCGGCGTCTCTATTTTGCTGCCAGTCAAGGTATGAAAGAGTTTTCTAAACCAATTACACTTGACGGTGTTTTTTTGCTGTTGTTGCTGTTGTTGCTGTTGTTGCTGTCGTTGCTCCAAACTTGATGGATTTAAGTCTATTAAATTGTTGTGACCTTGCTTTTGTGTTGATATACTTCCCGGTGCTTTGGGTGCAGTTCTCTTCGGATTCATTGATAATCTCTTAAACAATGATGTTTCATTGTGCTTTCCGAAATCATCTTGAATAGGACTGCTTATCAAATTAGTATTAATTTCAAATATCAGTTTTCTCTTAAGGTCAATTGCATTGGTATCTCGATTACTCTTGGGCAACTGAACATTAGGACTCCTCTGAATTTGGGAAGTACTGAATATTCCTGTTGAAAGTCTCGACTTTTTCAATGTACTTTTATGTGATGATTCGGTGAATTCTTCTTCTTCTTCTTCTTCCTCTTCTTCTTCTTCTTCTTCCTTCTCTTCTGGCTCTCCTCCTCCTCCTCCTCCTCCTCCTCCTCCTCCACTACCTACTAGACTATTCCTTGAAAGCTCGGCTATTGAATATGTATCATTATTAACTTCAGCTCTGAATGAATTTTCAAGATCATTGTCGTCTTGAATGGTTTCCTCCTCACTATGCTGAGGTTCAGCTAAAGTCTCTTTAGAGTCAACAATACTAGGTTCTACTGTATTTGCTTTGCCCACATCAGCAGTTTTTAAGCTTGAGATTTCTAAATTAGAAAGCTCGGCTTCAAAATTATGATTACTAAGAAATGGCTCTAGGTCATCATGTGCAACAAAGGAATATCTTGAGTCAACCGTAGTGTCATCAGAATGATCTTCCTCGGAGTCATATTTGGCATCTCTGTGTAGTTGAAAGTTTCGATTTGGAAGACCTTGCAGAGTTTGCTTCTGCTGCAGCAGCAGTTGTTGCAGTTGTTGTTGTTGTTGTTGTTGTTGTTGCTCTTCACCTTCTTCATCGTCCTCCCTAATAGCATCTCTTACTTTGATCCCCAAGCCTGCAAAGGTCTGCTTTGATTTGTTTGATCTTCTCACTACGGTGTTAGAAGTATTCAATGTATGACTTAATATAGTCACATCACCTTCTTCATTCATAACAGTATTTGCTTTCAAAAGACCACCAAAAGAAACCCTTGAAAATTTTAAATTGGGTATAAGTGACAAATTAGTTTCGTAGGCTTCTTCTTCTTCTTCTTCTTCTTCTTCTTCTTCTTCTTCTTCTTCTTCTTCTCCTCCTCCTCCTCCTTCGGCTTCGGCTTCTCTTTCTTCTTCTCCTTCTCCTCTATTGCTTTGATATAAATCTGCTGTAGAATCCATGTTGATGTTTATTTTGTTCTCATCAATATCATTAAGCATCGACTTGTAATGATATTGACCAGATCTCCTGGCCAAAGATACTTTTGAAGATGAATGCATTGACCTGAGACTCTCGTGTTCATTAAATTTGTCAACTGATATAAGGTCATCATTGTTTTCATTCTCATTACTTACATGTTCTTGCAAATAATCAGACAAGTACCTCGAGCTTGAAGTTTTTACGGTCTTCAGCAGTGGTGGATGTGCTGGTGCCGAATTCAACAATGCAGAAAGATTTCTTGAACTTGAGGTCTTGAAATCGTTGGTAAATCTATTCTTAGGTGGTGCAACTTCAATACCTAGCTTGTGTAACACCTTTAAAGTATTTTCATTACTCTTTGGAATATTTGACCTTGAAGAAGCAGCCAATGTTTTAGCTCTCCCCAATGTATGTGATCGAGGATCTAACAGCGATATCAATGTTGGGGTAGAATCAGTAAATGAGCGACGATTACTTGCATCAAGCAATCCCTCAAAATCATTAGCACTTTGTCTCTTCTTCATCTTGACTATTGCCTCTCTCTGTTTCATTTGTAACTGTTGCTTCTCAGCGAGCTCCTTTTCTTCTTGCTCTAGTTTCAACTTCATTTTAGCCAAGTGTCTCTTCTTTTCCTCAAATTCACGTTTCGCTTCTTCTTCTTCCTCTATCAATTTTCTTTCCCTAACCTTGTTTTTGAGTCTCACTTGCTCTGCAAGTTCTCGTTCCCTCTTGGCTAACGTGTTTTCTCTTTTCCTTTTTTGTGATGATGATGACAATGTTTTTGTTGTCGCTCCAATGGGAATGTTTTCTTTATCTTGATCTTTGTTAAACATCTCGTCCCAGATGTTTTCAAAATTGATCAGCGACTGAGTTCCCATCGTTGCTGTTGTTGCTGCTGTTGTTGCTGCTGTTGCTTCAGCTGCTGTTGTTTCAGCTGCTGTTGTAGTCATTGTCTTTTTGGATTCATTGTTTGGTTTATTTTCAAGGGAGAGTGGTTGTAGTTGGGGAATTCCCTGTGATAACTCTGTGCCGCCATCTTGCTCTGATGGCAATGATGAGTTATTGGTTTTCGAAGAATTGGACTTTAAAGAACGAGTTGAAGCATTGCGGCTCTTATAATGAGTGTTGACCATTTTCTTTTTGTTGAAAGAATTGGAAGCTCTAAATTGTTTCAAATTCGAATTTGAATTCAAACTTGCATTTACGTTTGCGTTTGATCTATTGGTGACATTTCCCAAAACCTGTTTTGACGAAACTGATTTCAATAACATTTTATTGGAATAAATTGACGTTGATTTAGTAATCTTTTTACCTTTTGATGTTGTTGTTGAAACTTGTTCACCAGTTTTATCATCATAGATTGTGATTTGAATAGTTGATGTGGATTTCGGAATCGTGCTCTCTGGTGTGATTGATTCGTTTGATATTGAATTAGTAACATGTTCATTACGGTATTTCATCAACAAATAATAAAACATCTTTTCGGGACACTTTTCAGGCGACATCAATCTGGAAATAATTGTATCTTCGTCGCAGTTGTGAAATAATACGGAAAGATTTTTTAAAATCTCCTTGTCTATATTTGCGGGATACTCGATTGGCTTAACATTAATGTTTCGAACATCCAAAGTTGTAGTAGAAGCATATGAGATATTTGGCTCGGGGTACTTTATTAGTAAAGGATGCATGAGAATATCGTCGATGGAGATACGCTCTGATGGGTTCACTTTGAGCATTTTTGTAATCAAGTCTTTGGCTTCTCTACTCAAGTGGTGTGGGATGATGAACTTTCCGCTTTGCACCTTGAGCAACAATTTTCTAATATTTTCATCGTCAAATGGCAAATGACCCGTTAATAATGCAAAAAGAATAATACCGCATGACCAGATATCAGAGGGGGCGCCATGGTAATTTTTACCAGCAACGATTTCCGGGGACGCATAGTGAGGCGAGCCACACGATGTCTCCAACAACTTCTCTTTAACTTCTAATGCGGCCATTCCAAAATCGGCTATCTTGATATTCTTGCTAAAGTCCAATAATAAATTTTCCGGCTTCAAGTCACGATGACATATATTAAACTGATGCAAGTAATTGATACCATTGATGATTTGTTTGAAATAATACACAGCTTCTGATTCTTGTAATTTGCCCTTTTTGATCAAGTAATCAAAAAGCTCTCCGCCCTCGATGTACTCCAAGATCAAGTATAAATCGTTTTTATTTTCCCAAACATCGTATAGTCCCATAATGTTTGGATGTGAAATTAGTTTCATTATTATTATTTCTCGTTCAATTCCATAAGGCAAGGTATGAGCTCCTTCGCCATCAACTCCGCTATCACGAGAATGACGTTTGTATTTTGGATTTTCCAATTTTTTAAAGTTGGATTTCGGTACGATTTTGACAGCCGCCAATTGGCCCGTTTCGATATTTTTGGCCAATCTTACTCTTCCTGTTGATCCTCTCCCAAGCGTTCGACCTAATTTCCATGGTCCTATCTTATTCTGTGATTTTCTCTTTTTGGAAGATGAATTGGTGTTTGTTGAGATTTGTGACAAGCGTTTAGTAGCGTTTGTTACCGATTGAACTACTTTATCAACATTAGTAGAGGAAGTTGTCGGCTGTATTCTACTACTGGCGCCAAAATGAGATTGTGAGTTTTGCTGAACAATAGTGACCATTGTTTGTAAATGGAAGATAGTTCTTGAGTGTTATCCTCTAGGTTATAAGCGAATGAATTGTAGTGGGTTATAAAGAATTTGGGGGGTTGGTGTTTTTTCCTTCTATATGAAGCGAATGAATATGACCTGTGTACTGATTAACAAAAATTTCAATGTAGTGGGGATAAAAACTATGTGAATGGGATGATTCTGTGAATAGAAATGATAATGAAAATGGGATCAGTTACAGGTGAAAAGGGTTGGTTACAGATGAAAATGGGTTTGGCTATAGGAGTGTGTTTTCTCTCTCTCTCTCTCTCACCGGAAAAGTGCCACGAACAGCACTAGAGTAAATGTGATGGCTAGGACAAGGTAAATAAGTTGATGATGAGCTGTGTTAAGTTAATGCTATTACTGGAGGAAATGTAATGGGCAAAATCTAGCAAAGTGAGTGACTCCCAAACCCTAAATAAGCTTAAAAAGAAAACGGTTTGTAGATACAGTTGGAAATAAACAGGAGTGGGATTTTGGAATATGAATTATTATTATTATTATTCTTTATTTTTTTTTTTTATTTTTCCTTTTTCCTTTTTGCTATAAAAATCACACTTTTACGCAGTTTCACACACTTTTTTCACGGTACCTCAGATTCTCACACTCTCACACTATATTACTTTTTCACCTTGTCTCGCTCTTTTCACTCTAAATTTTGTCTCAATCTCTTAGTTTTAATGTTGAATACTCGACTTTGATAGCTTTTCAATTTTTCGTGTTTCAATGTTTGGAAAAAAAAAAAAAAAAGTCGCAGCGCTTAATTGAAAAACAAACAAATACTGGTACTGCATACACACTGGATCATAACGTTGAAGAAACGACACTATTGAGCAAAGCGAGATAGTGGAGCCACATTGACTAGTTGCCACTGATACTATCGAGCAACGCTAGCTGCTACTGACACTAAAAGTTAGGTGGATAATGATTCTTTTCCATTAGGTAATAATGCTATTGAGCAGAGCGAGATAGTGGAGCACATATAATGAATAGATTGATTTCCCTTTTTCCATTCTCTCTTATTAGAATGCCAAACTCTAGAATGCGTCGTGGAAAAAACCAGAATTAATAATACGAGATTATTTTCCTGACGCGACTTGTTATTGAAACAATAAGCTTATTAATTTCGAGCGACACTAGCGAGCGACACTGGCGAGCGACACTGGCGAGCGTAGCAAGCTAGTGGAGCAAGCTAGTGGAGCAAGCTAGTGGAGCAGCAGTATGTAGTATCAGCTATTGAAAGAGAATCTCCATTGAAAGAGAATCTCTATTGAAAGAGAATCTCCATTGAAAGAGAATCTCTATTGAAAGAGAATCTCTTTTTGGTATAGTATCAGCACTATTGGGAGAATCTCTTTGGTGTGTTTTTGGATGATGGGAAACTTATGAGGTTTATATATGCTTCATAGTAGAGAGTAGGAGACGGTTTTAATTGTAGAGTAGCATAGTATAGATTACCATTGTAGAGATAGCATAGTATAGATCACCATAGTATAGATCACCATGGTATAGATCACCATAGTATAGATCACCATGGTATAGATCATCATTGATATAGATCACTATGGTATAGATTATACTAATTAGCCTGTTACAACACTATCTCGCTCTGCTCGATAGTGGAACAACACTCAGTAGCTTTTTACAACACTATCTCGCTCTGCTCGATAGTGACCATTGGTGTACCCCTGGAAAAAGGGTATATCTTCTAATATATAATCTATTTTTCTTTTATTCTAAATATTATATCAATATAATCCTTAATATATACCTATTGATATAGCCAAGAATAATCTAGCTTGTAATAATAAACAAACTGCTTGATAATCTGTATTACCTAGTAATTTATTGGTACTAATATACTCTCTACACACTACTCTCTACGCACTATACGCACTACTCTCTACGCACTACGCACTACTCTCCACGCACTATTGCTCCACTAGCTGGCTTCGCTCCCGTCGTTCTTTTTTTCACTTTTTATGTCCAGTATCTCCTATGGTTAGTATATATATGTTTATAGATTATTTGTTATATAGTTTATTATATACCTATATAAACATATGGGACACTATCGAGCAACACTATCGAGCAGAGCGAGATAGTGTTGTAAAAAGCTACTGAGTGTTGTTCCACTATCTCGCTCTGCTCAATAGTGGAGCACATATAATGAATAGATCGATATCCCTTTTTGCAAAGAAAACAGGGAAGTGATGTATTGCTCCATCTCGTTTTGCTCCATCTCGTTTTGCTCCATCTCGTTTTGCTCCATCTCGTTTTGCTCGATACTGTTGTTACTATGTTTTGCACGATAGTGTTGCTACTATGTGTTGCTCGATAGTGTCGATAGTGTCGGTCGATAGTGTCATTGACAGCTAGTGTGCAACACTATCTCGCTCTGCTCGATAGTGTTGCTCGATTCATCTATATTCTCATCTTAAAATATATAATCTGTTATATAATATTTGTAGTATATTCCTAATCTAGATTATTATTATGACTATCGAGCAGAACGACAGTCTTTATCGAGCAAAGCGTGAGAATAGAGTAGCTTACACAAAGAGTCCAAGGGATAAATTAGTCAATGTGCTCCACTATCAAAAAAAGTGAGATAGTGTTGTAACAAGCTACTGTGTGTGTATTTACACAAGTGCGACCAGCTGTGGCTACTAGGCCAACTGAAAGATGTCTAAAGTAGACACATATGCACATAGTTGTAACAGTATCAAGCAAAGCAAGATAGCGAAGCAACACTCAGTAGCTTGTTACAACAGTATCTCGCTTTGCTCGATAGTGTTGCACATTGAGTAGTTACTATTTGGATACTATTTGCTAGTTAAAACTGGTTAGTTATTATGACAATCGTAGCCGCGCGCGTGCACATAATCGTCTCATCTCATTTACCTCTAAAAGATAACTCATTTAGCTCTATAAGTTATCCAAGTAATTAGTAAGTTATTTTTGATATCAGTAAATGAATTCAATTAACAAAGGCTCGTTATCAAGCAAAGAACATCCTTCTATTAAAGAATGAATTGTTTTTCACTTTTATTGGAGAATGAATCCCTTTGAGAGATGTTGCACTCTACTTTTTTTGGTCTCAATTTGTAGCAAAAATTCGAGCAGAGCGCACTTTCGAGCAGAGCGAAATAGTGCCGGTGGCAGCTAGTGTTGCTCGATATCATTGGCCCTTCTTAGTGTAGCAGTACTGACTAGCTTGTTATAACACTATCTCACTCTGCTCCCTATTGGAGCAGTTCTGACTAGCTTGTTACACCATCTCGCTCTGCTCCCTAGTGTTCAAAACGCTACCAACCACTATAATTTTTTTTCATAAAAATTTTTCAGCCAATTGAAAAAACTGCAACGTTTCCATTTCTTTCCCCAATTTCTTTTCCCCAATTGGTGATTCCACATAGATATTGACTTACAAAATGTCAAACGAAAGAACATTTATTGCTATTAAACCAGATGGTGTCCAAAGAGGCTTAATTTCAGCCATTGTTGGTAGATTTGAAAACAGAGGCTACAAATTAGTTGGTATTAAATTGGTTCAACCAACTGAATCGCTTTTGAGAACCCACTATGAAGATTTACAGTCCAAGCCATTTTTCCCTTCATTGTTGAGCTACATGTTGAGCGGTCCAGTTTTGGCTACTGTTTGGGAAGGTAAAGATGTCGTTAAACAAGGTAGAGCTATTTTGGGTGCTACTAATCCTTTGCAGAGTGCTCCAGGTACTATCAGAGGAGATTTTGCAATTGATATGGGCAGAAACGTTTGTCACGGATCAGACTCTGTTGAATCTGCTGAAAAGGAAATTAACTTGTGGTTCAAGCCTGAAGAATTGGTTGAATACAAACCAGCCTTATTCGGATGGATTTATGAGTAAAAAAGAAAAGAGTGGGCACTATTAAGCAGAGTGGGCACTATCGAGCATAGCGAGATAGTGGAGCACACTAAGTGCCACAGGCATCATCTCCAATATCGAGTGACCCTAAGGATATTTTAGTTAATAGTCTTTTAGGCAACACCCTTTTTTTTGAAAAAAACCAATTTATTCAGTTATTACTAGGTGTCGCATTGACATTATTTGGTGGTGGTAAAGGGAAAAGTCTCTGGCCTGTCTTGTCTCTGGCATATCTTGTCCCTAGCCTGCCTCATCTCTAACCTGCCTCATCTCTAACCTACCTCGTCTCTAACCTGCCTCATCTCTAACCTGCCTTGTCTCTAACCTGCCTCGTCTCTAACCTGCCTTGTCTCTAACCTGCCTTGTCTCTAACCTGCCTCGTCTCTAACCTGCCTCGTCTCTAACCTGCCTTGTCTCTAACCTGCCTCATCTCTTCTTCTTTCTTATAGCAAAAAAAATTGAGGAAAAAAAAAAAAGTATGGTTTAGATGTAAACGATTTAAGCACTACATCTTGTCACCTTCTAACCCCATGGCGTCTATTGAGCAAGATGACATTTTCAACGTTGAAGATGATGAAATGGAAGACGAATATCAAGAGGAAGAACCACCTCAAGATTATGATATGAGGGATGCCGATGAGGAGGATACCCAAGCAAGAGGTGATGATAGAGATACTATGCAAGTAGATGAAGATATAAATGAAGGGCTAGAAGATGAAGATGATGAAGGACAAGTAGAAGGAGAAGAAGAAGAAGAAGAAGAAGAAGAAGATGATGATGATGAGGAGGAGGAGGAGGAGGAGGAGGAAGATGTCGACGAAGAGGAAGGCGACAAAGGAGCTGAGGAAGGTGAAGAAGAAGAAGAAGAAGAAGAAGAAGATGAAGATGATGATGACGAGGAAGAGGAGCAAGAGGAGCACGAAAAGCTGGAAAAGCTGGAAATTGCCGGAAAAATTGTCAAGGACAACAATCCTGAGAATATAGCGCATAAAGTGAGTAAACTGATTGATGAGGTAAATGACCTGAGTTTAGAACAACAGGAAGGTAAAGAGCCAGTACCCAACAGCATACCAGAGAACAATCAGGGTTCATCGAGACCGTCCTCGTCGTTAAAAGAAGACCTCAATAATACTAAACTACCGTCTGAAAACACAAAAGATACATCAATTGACGATAGGGAAGAAACAACCAATGTCATTGAGGAAAAAGAGGAGATGGTGGAGGTGGAGGTGGTGGAAATGGAGGCCGAGGAAAACCTATCTTTTCGAGAACAGATAATTGCAAAAGCGCAAAAAGCAACTGAATTTGATATTATACCACAAGTGGCTATACCTTATACATCTCAATGTCATACATTGGCATTTACTCATGGTCCCAAGTGGATATTGACTGGTGGAGAAGATGGTTTCATACGAAAATATGACTTTATACTGTCTATACAGGGGAAAGCACCGCTTACCATGGCACAAAAGCACAATTTATCTGACTCATTGACTAATGCAGGTGTTATATGCTCATACTGGGAAAACGAGCAGCCATACACAAGAAAGCAATTAATGAAACTAAACCCAAAACTAAAGGATTCTGATTTTTCAACTGGTAGTGTTTCTTATGAACCCAAGATTAACCCTGTTTATGCATTAGAAGCCGAGAAAAATGGTTATTGGTGTTTAAGTGGACTTTCTTCTGGAGGAATATGTTTATATACTATGAGGTATAACGAAGGCGCAATACATTACTACTTCAACCATGGCACCAAACAAAACCCGCGACGTGGACATACTGACACTGTGAGTGTGCTCAGATTAAACCATGAAGAGAACAAATTTATAAGCGGATCATGGGACAAGACGATACGAGAATGGGATTTGAACACTGGGAAAACAATAACCGAGTTTCTCCCGTCTTCGGGTCAAATATCAAATATCCAGTTTCGTCCAGATGGGCTCGAAGATGTGACATTTCAGGTTATGGGAACAGAAAGAGAAGCTACCAATCAACAGCAGGAGGAAAGGGCAGGACAAACCGCTGCTACTATTAATAATAACAATAAAAATGACAATGAGTACGACGACGATGATGATGATGATGATGATGTAGACTCCTTATTTGGAGATTCTGACAAAGAAGATGGAAAGGAAAAACAAGACAATGCTACAAAGAGATCTTCAGAGGCACAATCAAAAGTGCACAGAAATTCTGATATTTTCATGAGCTCAAGTATCGATGGAACTATTAACATATGGGATGTTCGAGTTCAACAACCAGTAATACGAATAGGCATTTCCGAGGGAATTCCCCCTTGGTGTATGTCACTGACATGGTCAAACAACGGGGATTTTATCTATGCTGGACGTAGAAATTCCACGATTGAGGAAATATCAATCAAGATGCCGCACAGGAGATCTAGCTCGGGTCATCACAAAGATACGATGGTCCCTAACGTTTCCAAGCTTTTGCAATTCCCCAAAATCAGTGGACCTGTTAGTGCAATCAGTACTATGCCCAATGATAAGTTTTTGCTTTGTGGGTCAAACGATAATATCAGATTATACGACTTGAGATTGTATGACGATTTGAATAATTCCGCAGTTAATTTGAAAAAGCAAGCAACACCATTCTTAATTGTTCCTGGACATCATGGTGGTATGTTGTCGCAATTGTATGTGGATGAAACAGGTAGATTTATGGTTAGTGCAAGTGGATATAGAGGTTGGGGGCACGGTCATTTTACCGATACTGTTCTCATTTACGAAATTGATTTTGAATAAGAAGAAAAATCAAACAATCAAACAACCAAACAATCAGTAGATAGATAAATAAATAATTGATTAAATAAATTTTGAATATACAAGTTACATACAACTTGGAGAAGTGAAACAAAAAGTAGCCAGTTGTATTATTTACAGCTCGAACCCGTATATCGTATTTCTTAACGTTCCTGTGCCCACTTGCAAAACATTTTTTAGTTGCGTTGTGGAAGAAAATAAATTACTAAACATGACCCGCACATCATTTGCAACATTATTGATAATTAAAACTCCTTCTTTTTCAAGAATCTGTCGGCATACTTCACCACCATTACACTTGACTAGAAAAAAGTGGAGGAGGAATCCAAAAACCCCCACGGCAATACTGATCTTGTAGATATTGCGCAACGAAAACCAATTTCTGTTCCATATAACAATTCGTTTGTCATCGTTGGCATTTGGAGTAGGAGAGTGGTTTGGTGGAAATAGTTTTCGAAGAATAGTGTTGGAGGTAATTTTGTATAGTGATGATGAAGTGAATGAGGTGTTTAATGTCAAGGAGGAGCTAAGGGAATTGATATTAGAAGAATAGTCCCCATCGTCGTCGTCGTTGTTATTGTTGTTGTTGTTGTTGTCGTCATCGTCATCTTCTTCATATTGAGTAGAGACAATTGAATGCTGAGTATCATCCTCCTCTGCGAAAAGAACTTGTTGCTCTTGCATTTCATCAAGTGCTTGTCTCATTATTTCATTATCTTGCGTTTGGATCCAATCATGTAATGCATTATCTTGGGGATCTAGAAGATTGGAATAGTTTGAAGCTATATCTTCTCTGGATTTGGATATGTTCGATGTGGTGAGCAACACCGAATGATTATTGTAGTTTGTAAACCACTTTTCCCATGTTCTATTGACATTTTCGCAATGCGCAAGTGGGTACTTTTCAATTAAATCGTTGGCTTTGGCTAAAACTTTGTACAAGTCCGAGTCACTAATGCTATCAAATAATGCAGCGGGTGATAGTATGGTATGTACCAAATCCTGATCTACTTCAATGAAATCGTCTTGCTCTTTAGCCAACAGTAGTGTTTCCCAAATTCTGGGTTTGTATACAAGTAGAGCTGCTGCATAAATATACAGATTGGCAATAACGGATCCATATGCAAAATTGAAATCCCATATAATGAGGATATGTGACAAGTTCATTAAATCGTGTGAAAACATTGTCAAGATTGAAGAAAGACCTTGGAAAAACTTATAGTCATACGCTTTTCCCAGTGACGTATGGTATGAAGTAGATGTTTGTTTAATTAATTCAAATAATTGTGAGTCTGCATTTTCTAAAATTGTTGGAATCAACCTCAAATGGTTAACTGATAAATTGATATCCGAGATCATGAAATCCCTCAAGTGGAAAAGTGCCAAGTTTTCTAGTATGCTAAAAGCAAGATCCTGATCAATATCCTTTTCGATCAATTCGTTGTTGTGTTTTGCATTGTAGCAGACTAACAAAACAATACTGGCAATATCATGAAAGCCTTGGTAGTAATTGAGACTTGGGTATTTCCGTAATAATTTAATTATTAAATTGGATAGCATCTTCTTCAAAGAGCTGATATCTGAAGAACTAAGAATGGTTGTAAATGATGAGCCCTTTTCAAAAACGCTTGTGGATTTCAATGTTAAGGAATCAATAGTGGTGGTATGGTTCAATGACTGGATATGGTTCAAAACAGTGAATGACCTCTGTATATCTAGCTTCACCTGATCTTCATCTTTATGAGGAGGTAAATCAATACATTCCAAGTTTGCCAATAACGAATCTGGAGAGAAACTTGTGTGGTGATGACTAGCAATTGAGCGGGAAGATAATAAAGAATCTGTATTTAGCTGTTGTTTGTTTTTCTTTTCATTCAGTAGTAGTAACAACCTGGGCCAGACTACTCTCCTAATGGCGTTACTGACTAATCCCCCAGTGGAACGTGCCATCTTGGTCAATAAATCCAAATCCATCAATAAATCCAAATCCATCAATAAATCCAAATCCATCAGTGGATTTTCCGTTTCCCCTGAGTCCCTCGAGTCCCCCGAGTCCCCCATTTCTTTTTTATATATTGCATCGTATATTGCTTCAAGCTTGAGTTGATTTGATGTGCTGTGGCCATTGGATACCAGCTCTTCTTCTTCTTCTTTTTCTGTTTGTTCTTCTTCTTCTTCTTCTTCTGTTTGTTCTTCTTTTTCCTCACTATGCAATGATTTCTCTACCTGACTGCCATCCATTTGGATCCAGTGTTCGGAATAGCTGGGAATAAGCGCCGAATATGATAACGATGAGGAAGGAGATCTCGACAACTCCATAGGCCTCGACCGTTGCTGTTTCGCAACAATTGTTTCAGATACACCCATATGGTCAAATCACACAATAGGAAAAGGAGAGAATCACCCTATTTGGCGACTCAAAGTAACAATATCTCTTACTGATGGTTATAACAAGAAGAATAAAAGGGTTCAATATTTGAGATGGAGCAATTGAAAAAATAAAAAAGTGGATTATGTAATCAAAGATAACAATACCACTAGGGAGCGAAGCGAGTTAGTGGAGCAGGATGTAGAGAGTAGAGAGTAGCGACACTAGGAAGTGAAGCGAGTTGCACCACTAGGGAGCGAAGCGAGTTGCACCACTAGGGAGCGAAGCGAGCTAGTGGTGCAGGATGTAGAGTGTAGAGAGTAGCAACACTAGGGAGCGAAGCGAGCTAGTGGAGCAGGATGTAGAGTGTAGAGAGTAGCGACACTAGCTCGCTTTGCTCACTAGTGGAGCAGGATGTAGAGAGTATGTGGGGTTTCGAAATCTGTGATTTCGCTACACTATCTCGCTCTGTTCGATAGTGGAACACTTGCAAATATACTTTAATATATATAACTGGGTGCAACACATGGGTTTGAGTTGTAATGTAACATTTGAGAGAATATATATTTATATGTTTCATATAAGTATTTTGTTTATTTAACTTACCCCCCGCTATCGAGTGACACTATCGAACAACACTATCGAGTGACACTATCAAGATAGTGGAGTAGCTTATAAAAAGACTCCAAGGGATAATCTCGCTCCGCTCGATAGTGTCGATAGTGTCGATAGTGTCGCTCGATTTTTGGCATCTTAAGGGGTAAGAAATTACAACCTCTTAAAAAATACATCTTCCAATTCCAATAGTTTACAAAAGGCAGTTGAAGATTTGTGTAAAGTTGAAAGTAGGCAAACACAGCAAGAATTAATACCATATATTGAGTGGTTATCTTACTTAGTCAATGGTGGCAGCTAGTGTGCTCCATTGGTGGCAGCTAGTGTGCCCCACTGTCACGCTCTGCTCGATAGTGGAAACACAGCAAGAATTAATACCATATATTGAGTGGTTATCTTACTTAGTCAATGGTGGCAGCTAGTGTGCTCCATTGGTGGCAGCTAGTGTGCCCCACTGTCACGCTCTGCTCGATAGTGGAAACACAGCAAGAATTAATACCATATATTGAGTGGTTATCTTACTTAGTCAATGGTGGCAGCTAGTGTGCTCCATTGGTGGCAGCTAGTGTGCCCCACTGTCACGCTCTGCTCGATAGTGGAAACACAGCAAGAATTAATACCATATATTGAGTGGTTATCTTACTTAGTCAATGGTGGCAGCTAGTGTGCTCCATTGGTGGCAGCTAGTGTGCCCCACTGTCACGCTCTGCTCGATAGTGGAAACACAGCAAGAATTAATACCATATATTGAGTGGTTATCTTACTTAGTCAATGGTGGCAGCTAGTGTGCTCCACTATCTCGCTCTGCTCGATAGTAGACTTTTATTGCCATAGCTCTCTTACAATCGCTGTGCCATCTGCGGAGCAGCTCAAAAGTATATCCATTTTTGGATGATAGTCAACTTCATAAACTGCATCCTGATGTCCTTGATATTTACCAAGTAAAGATCCACTCAAATGATCCCAGGCTATGACCGTGCCGTCTTCTGAACCAGACAAAACCTTAACATTGTTGTTACTGAAACATGCTTTGATAGAACAATAATGATCACCGGAGGGAGTGCCTAGGAGTACTGATCCCAAACTCGGTGGCTTTGAAGGATCTCTGTTAATATTGTACGTTCGCACCAAGCCATCAAACGTTCGCATAGCTAGTGTCGACCCGTCGGGAGATGTGACTAGACTTGTTACTGTATCTAGTTGACTGTTGAATTTCCATAACTCCTGCTTGAGATTTCTTATATCAAATGCTACTATTTGAGGATTGATACCACTCAAGTATATAGTGTTGTTGTTTTTTCCCCTTTGGCAACAAGCCGTCAATAAAGGCAATCCAGTCTCAATGCTTGCAATGTTGTGTTTTTCTCTATAATCCCACATCATCATTTTGCCATCATCTGCCACGGACGCTGCTGAGGTCTCATTTAAACCAATTACCTGATTTATAACACTACTGTGGCCTACTAGTTTGCGTAACTTTTGTGCTGTATATGTATCCCATATTCCCAAGGACTGGTCTGCACTTGCCGATACCAATACATCTGTCAACCAACATAGCGAGGTCACTGCACGTTTATGTCCATTTAATGATGCAATGTTTAAATTGACATTTTCAGTCGGTAATTTCCATAATTGTATTGAATTATTACTACCTCCCGTAGCTATCAATGACCCATCTTGGTTGAATTTAGATGTGTTCACAGATCTTGTATGACCTTCTAAAATTATTGCACTGTCATATAGTACACCAGAAGTAGACGTTCCGTTATTCTTTTCATCCACGTGCTTCTCTAAGCTCGTTTCTTGTTTAGCCAAAGACATTGAAATTTTGACCTCACCTTCTTTACTACAATCAATAAGGTCAAATGGTATAATGACTCGCAATCATTGCAAGTCATCCCATCTCATCTCATCTCATCTCATCTCATTGCGCGCCGCACTGAAAAACAAAAAGAGATAAATAAAAAAAAAATTTAATGGGCGGCAAGACCGAGTTTATCCGTCGTATCACGTGATGTTTTTTTGAGATGACCTCGGATCATTTGTCAAACTTTCCCCACATTATTAATTTATTTCACCCCAAGGATTAGAATAAGGTTGAGTAAGGAAGTAAAGAGTAAGGAGTAGGGAGTAAGGAGTAAGGAGTAAGGAGTAAGGAGTAAGGAGTAAGGAGTAAGGAGTAAAGAGTAAAGAGTAAGGGCAATGTCGTCAAAAGAAAAGATTGAGTCAGCGGTTCCAAAAGGCAATACATTAGAGGTCAATTGGTCAGATGGCCAGGTATCCAAATTTCATACCATTTGGCTACGTGATAATTGTCATTGCTCAGAATGTTATTTTCTGTTAACAAAACAACGTTTACTAAACTCGGCATCGATTAGTATTGACCTTGGCGTGAAAAAAATTGTAGAGGTTGATAATGGTAACAAGTTGGCAATTACCTGGGACACGGACCATGAATCTGAATATAGTGCCAGTTGGTTAAGATTGCATTCTTACTACCCGAGACTTGTACCACTAGACAAAACCGTACTCGAGCAAGAATTGTGGCAAGTTAAAGATATCAAGGACAAGCTTCCCTCGGTGGACTTTGCCTCGGTGATGAACTCTTCTGACTCCACGGATAATGAGGATGCTATAAGAGACTGGTGTTTGAAAATATGGAAACATGGTTTCTGTTTAATTGACAATGTCCCAGTAACACCCGAGGATACAGAAAAGTTGTGTAAAAAACTAAACTATATCAGAGTCACACATTATGGAGAATTTTGGGATTTCACTTCAGACTTGGCTAAAGCTGATACCGCTTATACGAATTTTGACATTAGTAGCCACACTGATGGAACTTATTGGTCAAATTCTCCGGGATTACAATTGTTCCACTTGTTGTATCATGATGGTACTGGCGGAACTACTTCATTAGTTGATGCGTTCAAATGTGCTCAATTATTAAAGGAAGCACACCCGGAAAGCTATGAGATATTCACTAGAATTAGAGTGCCTGCTCACTCTGCTGGTGAAGAAAAGGTATGCATCCAACCTGATATACCACAACCTATTTTCAAATTGGACGAGCACGGTAAATTGATTCAGGTTAGATGGAACCAAAGCGACAGATCAACTATGGATTCATGGGAGGACCCGGATGACGTTGTCAAGTTTTATCAGGCTATCAAACATTGGGTAGAGATTATTACATCGCCAAACAATGAATTGTGGCACCAAATGAAACCTGGCCAGTGCTTGATTTTTGATAATTGGAGAGTATTTCATCTGAGAAGCGAGTTTACTGGAAGGAGAAGATTGTGCGGAGCGTACTTTGAGAGAGACGATTTTGTGTCAAGATTGAAGTTATTGAATTTGGGTAGAGAAGCTGTTTTAGAATCTATATGATAAACTTTTGACTATTGTTCTTTTTTTCCTTTTTTAAAAAAAAGAAACTACTTATTTATGTTACTATTCTAGATAAAAACTGGAATGTGGTTCCAGTCCCATGGATCGTTGAATCTTAGTCCCTTATCCAATTTTTTAATTTCCTTTATGTCATCATCGGTCAAGTTGAATTTGTTAACTTCCAAATTTTCTATTGCCCTTTCTTGTTTACTTGACTTGGGAATCACTGCAATATTTCTTTGAGTAGACCACCTTAATAAAACTTGTGCACAAGTCTTTCCGTGGTTTGCTGCTATTCTTTTAATAGTGTCGTGTTCAAATAATTTTGGAGCATCAATTGCCTTTTTATTCTCCAACTCAACAAAAGAAAGTGGCCCAAAGGATGAGTATGCGGTTACTGCAATACCTTGACTCTGTACCCATTCAATCAATCTCTCTTGTTGCAAATATGGATGATGTTCAATTTGTAATACTGCAGGTGGGATCTTGGCGCCTCTCAACAAATCATAAATCAAACTGCCATTGAAGTTTGAAATACCAATAGATTTGACTTTGCCCTTTTCTACAAGCTTTTCCATTGCATGCCAAGTATCTAGCAAAGGAATATTTTCAAAATGAAAATTACCACCATCTCCGCAGTAAAATCCAGGTGGGTATTTCTCATCAAACGACACAAATTTTTGTGCAATTGGGAAATGAATCAAGAACAAATCAAGATATTCTAGTTTAAGATCGGAAAGGATGCGATCAAGTGCTAATTCAACGTTCTTGGGATCGTGATACGAGTTCCATAACTTTGAAGTAATGAAAAGCTCTTCACGTGATGTAAGACCGTCATCAATTGCGTGCTTTATACCATCTCCCACCTCTTTCTCATTGCCATAATCTTGAGCCTCGTCAAATAATCTGTAACCTGTCTTTATAGCATCATAGACTTGGTCAGCGGCTATCTTGTTTTCAAGTTTCCAGCAACCGAAACCAACAAGGGGCATCTCATGACCGGAGTTTAATTTAATACTCATTTTCACTTTATTCAAACTTGGCAAGTTAATCAATTCACTCGAACCTACCCCAATTGAAAGAATGTCAACTTTAAGGGGAAGGGGGGGGGATCGCAAGATCTTTATATAGCCCTAGGAATTGATTGCTATTTTTAAATCGAATCGGAAAAGGAAAAAAAGAAGCAATGACGAAAATGGAAATATGGGGGACCATCATTTGAGGGGGAGGGAGTATGGAATGTGAAGTGTAGATGGAGGGGAGGAGATTATCGAGCAACACTATCGAGCAACACTATCGAGCAACACTATCGAGCAGAGCGAGATAGTGTTGTAAGAAGCTACAAAGTGTGCGTGGCAGCTAGTCAGTGCTGTTCCACTATTGAGTAGAGCAAGATAGTGTCGATAGTGTTGTAAGAAACTACAAAGTGTGGGTGGCAACTAGTCAGTGCTGCTCCACTATCTTGCTCCGCTCGATAGTGTCGATAGTGTCGATAGTGGCAGCTAGTCAATGCTGTTCCACTATCGAGAACGACATGCTCATAGCAAGGAAATACATCACATTAATGCTGAAAAAAAGAGTAAAAAAGGACGTCTCTATTGTTACGTTAAAAGATTTTCTAACTTCATGAACCCTTGATTATCAAGCCTGATATTATTCTCTTCGGACTGTGGTGATGACTCTGAACTAGCAACAGAATCTGTATATTTAGGAACAGTAGCCGACGCTTGCTCCTTCTGTAAGTGTAATTGTTTTTGCTTCTGTTGTTGTTGTTGTGGTGGTGGTGGTGGTGGCCGAGAAGGGTACTGAGGTAAATCGCAAAGTGATGTAAAGCTTAAGACCGACCGGATTGGTGGTAATCTAGTTCCTGTAGTTGAAATGCTATCAAATTTGTCATTTAAAAACTCATTCTCCTGAATGGTCTTGGATGGTAGAAGTTGAGTATCCAAAGCCATTGGTTGTAAGTGTGGCGATTGACTTGGTGTTTGTAGTGGTGTTTCGTTGGGGGATATAACAAATGCAGAATTGCCAATTTTTGATCTCGAATTGGATAAGTGGAGAGTGACAGAAGTTGTTGATGGAAACATTGATGGAGAGCTTGGCCTTGACTTTTTCGAAATATGGCCACCACTACCATCACCACCAGACTGCAGACTATTGTAAAATTCGAGGTTTAGCGACGTCGAGGACACTTGTTTAGGTGGAAGGTGGCTATTTTCGGATCTCATAACTGTAGCTATAGCTGGTGTAGATGCTGTTGTTGGTTGATGCGAGAATATTGGTTTTAATGGAGTCATTCTATGTAAGCCAGAAAGATTTGTAGCTGAAGCAGACGTTCTGATTTTACCTCCCAATGAAGACAAGGACGAAGAACTGGTATTAAACAACTTTGTACCGCCACCATATGCTGCACTGATATTATTATTGTTAATAGCAGTATTACTATTAGTATTCATATTACTAATATTATTGTTGTTATTGCTATTATTGTTCTTTTGGAAATAGTCATTTAAATTTGTAAACGAAAAAGGTGGTGGAAAGGGCATCTGTTGTGGAGGTGGCATTAAAGCAGCAGAAGTTTCAGGTGACGTTCCCAAGGACTGAGTGGCTGAGTTATTATTACTGAAAACTTTCTGATTTTCTGATGAAATACTAGATGTAGATTCAGACTTTTGAATTCTTGATTGATGAGTAGCTAAGGATAATTGACCATTTGGAAATGAAGGTGCAACATTTGACTGCAGCTGATGATGAGAGTACTGTCTTACTGTATCTGAAGACAATGTTTTTTGCGTCATCAATGGTTGGGAACTCACTGATAAGTTGTTAGCTGAATGTGATGCAGATTGGTGATTGAAAAACGATTGGCTTTGGCTTTGGTTTTGGTTTTGGCTTTGTTGGACACTGGTAGGAGATGAAGGAATGGAAAAAACAGCTGTACCATGTAGCAGATGATGATGAAGAGGAGAAGCACTTCTTTGTGGATGATTTAGGACCGTTGATGGCTGCGAAGATGCTATTGGAAGTTGCTGATTAGTAACCTGTTGAGATGGTGGTTGCGATTGCACAACCGAACCCATGTAGCCACCTGCTCCCGGTGGTGGAGCATAATAAACAGAAATTGGTTGATGGTATGGATTGTTACCGGGGTTATTTATGTAGGAATTAAGAAAGATCTTTTGCGGATGTTGCTGCTGCTGCTGTTGTTGCTGTTGTTGCTGTTGTTGCTGTTGCTGCTGTAGAGGTAATTGCTGCTGCTGTTGTTGTAGTGGTAGTTGACGTGGTTGAATACCAACGGGACGCGAAGAAGTCTTGTCCTCTTGACCGTTATCATTCTTTGTCTTTCTCTTTCTGGAAGGTGCAGGAACCGTTGGATTATTATGAATTCTTAAATGTCTAGTTAATTCATCGGACCTACTGAATCTTTTGGTACACAGCGGGAAAGTACAGCAATGAGGTTTCTCTCCAGTATGAGTTCTTATATGCCTCGTCTGATGCTCTAACCTATGAAATGCTTTTTCGCAAAATATGCACTTGTAAGGTCTATCCTCCTTATCCTTTTTCTCCTTTGGTGGCATAATTTATCCGAAAACTCTCAAAACTAAGGAGAACCAATGACAAAGTAAGCTGTTCAAATAACAATTAAAAAGACTCCTTTTTAGGAAAGGATTTTCCTGACGAGGGAGGAGTAGATGGGACTATCAGGTCGATATAAGTATACAAAAGAAGAATGAAAAAGATGGAGGCTTGTGTAAAAATAACAAAAAGATTTTATTCCGATTTTCTTTGTGTCCAAAGGGTTAAATGTATAAAAAAAAAAAAAGAAAAAAAAAAAGGTAAAATAGAACCACTAAAAAGAACATAATTAGAGTTTGGAAAGATGTAATAAAGTTGGAGATTCGGCGGGGCAAATGCGAAAAAAGCTAAGAATATAGAAGAAAAACGCTGAATGAATGAAAACAGTTGGAAAAAAAAGGGGGATACACAAGTGAATTGGTGTAACATTGAAAAAAAAAAAAGAAGAAATTAAAAAGAGAAAGGGAAAGTGAGAAGAGCAATGGGGCAGTTTAGTATCAGGGTGTGTTGAAATACAATAGACAGGTTAAATGAGAAGACGAAATTAAACGTAACAGGCTCCCATCCGGAAATTGATATAAATATGGTATATTTGGTATGGGTTATTATACTATGAAATGAGTTAAGAAAGGTATACAAATACGACTTACTTACACACTATTGTTATAATTTATTTTATTTTTTTCCATTGTTACACCTCATCTCCATATCCAAATCAACTCAATTTTGGACGCTCCTGTCGGAACGTAGTGGAGCCAATTATAGAGGTCGTAGCAGCATTAGTAGGAGTGGTAGTAGTAATAGCTGCCACGAAATGTTTTAGACAATAGGAACTAAAATAAAAATGTGATGGTTATATAATCTTAATCTTTATCTCTTCTTCGTTTTTAAAATAAAATATAAAAATAAAAATAAAAATAAAAAAAGAAATTTTATCGGAAAAATTAATTTTTCCGAGTAATAACTCTAAATGCTGTAAAACGGAAAAGTAAAACAGAAATAGAGAAATAGAGAGAAAAATCATCACAAACAGAGCATCCTCTTTCTTTGTAATCTTCAATAGCCCACAAAAAGTGTTTTCACGATGAATGTAAGAAGCCAATAGGTTTCAGATCGTAAAAAAACCTTTTTTTTTTTCAACCAGTAAAGAAAAAACAGCCCACAGCAACCACTTGTAACTTCTTTTTTTTTTTTTTCATGCTAGGTAAGTAAAATATACATTTCTTTTTGACCCACATTCCAAATCATGTACATGAGAACGATATGCAACTTGGAGGTATAGCTTAGGTTGTGCAGTGCAGTAAAAATATTTGGAGTGCTTTAATTTAGGCGGGAAAAAGAGCGGGGCACAATCACAATCTAGGCTGGGGGAAAATTGGGGGAAACTTAGACTATATGGAGAGACATGAAAAGATGAGAAGGGTTTGTATGTCTATGTGTCTATATATTTATGTAGAAGTTCAAGATTGTGTTTCTAAGCCATGACACAACTTTTTATTTACTTGACTTCTGAGAGAAGAGGAGCACTTGGAGTTTTTACTGTATATTTGCATTTGCTGGGTAAATGCTTTGCCGGGAGGAGAAGAAACAAAAGTTAATAGGAACCATATCTTAATAGGTACCATACTTTGTTTTTTTGGAGGATGTATGTCATGTAACATAATGCTCTTACCTGAACCCGTATATTGAGTTTCAGCACCGGGTAGTAAGAGTGTATTGTGGAAGGTTGCAACCTTTATGATGACCATGACCAATCTCTCGGATTTACAGAGAAAAAAATACATGCAAAGTCGAAAACTTCGGAGTAACAGTAACCGTATCGTACAATGCAAAATTTTATAAAAACCCACAAAGTTTAACGCTTTGCACAAAGTTTATTTACTTAGTTCAAAAGCTCGGTTAGTAAAGGTAACTTGTATCTACACACAGAGCGATTGAAACAGGACACATGTTCAAAATAGTTTTGGGTTTTCTGTTTTCCGTTTAAAAAGTTCAGAAGTGATGTAAAAAAAAAAAAAAAAAAAAAATAGAAAAGAAACAGTAAAATTTTATGGTGTTAAAGGGGAAATGATCAAATTGTAGGCATTCCAATGAGGATTCAAGTTGTTGTTATTTATTAGGTATGTGATTGTTATAAATATTGAGCGCGTGCGTATTTTGTATTTTTGTAATCTTGCTATTTTTGATATAAGGCTGGCCAACCAGAAACAACCTTGTAAACGGGGTGCCGAGGCGAAAGAAAAAACGGTAAATGCAAAAGAAATGTGGCTCTTTTTAGATTTAATGTTCTTTATTTATTTTCGTATAGTTGGTTCAAAAAGTTCAACTGGGTGTGATTTTTCTATGCCATATCAAATAGGTTTTGACAAAACGGTTTAAACCACTTGTGACGTAAGACACGTCCCATGTAAGCAGTATTATTTTGTAGTTTTTCTTCAAATTTCGTTACCACCCCCGTGGGGAAAAGTAAAAGAGAAAGAACGGTTGAAAACAATTTTATACGAGGTGGATATTTTTGTAGAATATTTTTACTCGAAAATGTAAGTAATGATAGGAATGAAGAGAAGTTTATGAAAACAATTTTCAAATCCTCTTTTACCTAGTTTCCTATCTTACTTAATTTCCTCTTTTACTTAATTTCCTATCTTACTTAATTTCCTACCTTCTTCATAGTTTGCTCTTCAACTCTTAATTGGTTTATTTTTGGTTCAATTCTGGACCAAAATTTGTTAAGAATAAAAAGAGAGTGAGAGCAAAAAAAAAAAAAAAGCCACATAATTGTACATTTGTGTTTATTAATATGCTGAATACTTTCGATCTTATTGTTTGCAGTTAGGAAGTCATACACTGGTACATATGTTGAAGATTGTTTTGTATTTCAAATTACAGATTGCACGAAGGAAGGCAAGGCACCAGAAACAGATGTATTTTTATTTTTTTTTATGTTTTTGTATTTTCCATTCGTTTATATTCTTGATGCTATAATATTAATTATTTTTCCCCAGGACTTACCAGTTGAAGATCGTAATTAAAATCCAACCACTGATCGAACCATTGAATATTCCCCAACATGTTATCAAACTCTGTTGACGAATAGACATCAACTACCTTTGGTTCATTTTGATCAGTTGAACTGGTAGGGGTTGTATTACTATCCGCCCTCTCAAAAACACCACTATTCTCTTCCATTGCTTCATTTTGAGGCCCTCCAACTCCATGAATATGCTGGTTGTTATGTATCGATTTACTTGAGGAACCTTTCTCATAGCAAATACCTTCCCTTGTGACTTCATCGTTCCTGTGCAATTGTTTTTCTAAAACTTTATAAAATTCATTATTACTGCTGTTATTTCCCTCTTTATTTGAATGTTGCTGGTACTCTTGTTGTTCTTGTTGTTGTTGTTGCCGCTGCTGCTGCTGTTGTTGTGTACTATTCGCTTTTGCGTCTGATAGTTTGGTTTTCCCTTGGGTGGCAATTGCAGGAGCACCCGAATCTGAAAATCCCAACTGCGAAAAGTATTGTTTATTGACATCCGAAGAACCATGGTCAACTCCAATATTATTCAAAGCATTCATGTCTTCCTCCAAACGTAAAGTTAAAATTTTATTGGCCATCTTCAAAGCCCAAGTACATTCTCGCACCATTTTAAAACGTTCTCTAAATACAAGCTTATTTTGCTTGTTCCTTATTGGCGATTTTCTCAAAAATGTGAAAAACTTAATGGTGCTTTTCAAAATATCCCTTGACTGCAGAACATAAACACCTCCATTAATCAAAGTTATTGCATTTACACCAATATTGAATAAAAGTAAAAGAACCGAGTACCATGGGGTATACAACAAGCCCGCTTTATTTGTCTTGTCTAAAACATCAATGACTCCGTGGCATGCATCCAAAACCATTTCAACTTTTAGCCCGTGACTGGCTATTTTGCGGCCTATATAATTAAAAAGCACTTTTCCGTGTATGCACAACACCAAATCATAATAATGTAGTTTAACCTGTGATTTCACCAAGGAACTAATCTCTGAATCGTCATTTTTGTTAAATAATAAATCGTTTCTAAATCCTATTTTATTAAACCATTCATGTAATTTGACCAACTCAGCATTTATTTGCTGGTATTTTATCAAGTACGGATTATCATTAGACAACGTGTGGACAAAATTTGATATTCTTGCAATGTGAATTAAGGCCAATGCCGGCAATGTTAGCCAGTCATCTTTAACAGTTTCTTGAGCAAAATCAAATGTTGGGTACGGTCTAGTAAAATCTTCATCTCTCACACCACAATACCTACCTGTTTGTAACCCAAATACTCTATCAATTGAAAAAACGCACCAAAATATTCTAGTCGCTTTCAACCGCTCATAAGCCGTAGACACAATTAGCTGGGGATTTTCATCACCAAAGCCCAACCCCATTGACTTCGTTATTGTTATTGCTTGACCCAAAGCGTGCGAGCAAGAAGTTTGTCTATGGGCAACTCTCAAGTATAGAGCTATTAGTAGCCAGCTTTGAATCAATTCAAACGATTCCCATTCAAAACTGAGAATGCTAACTATTTTATATGCATACTTGAAGAACTTCTCTTCCAATTTCAATATTGCTATATTGGGACCTTTTGGTTTCTGAAATTCACTAAATCGAATAGCAAGGGCATATATGAGATACAATATTGCAACAAATAACTTAGTTTGGTTTGTTTTCGAGTCATGAGTTTTTAGTTGCAATTCTTCACGGACTAGTCGGTTATATGCTTCAATCTGCTCTCGAAAAACCGTTTCATGGATAATTGCAAAAAGTGGATTTAATTCCTTAAAATAATAGTTAACTAAATAATCCTTATCAATGTCTGTGTCAAAGTCTGGAATGGGCGGTAACTCTTCCGAATTTAAATAGTTCACACCAGACATATTCCATCCAAAATACTGCCTTCTAGGCACAGTCACTTTTTGCCTCAGCTCTTCTGATAGATTAGAGTACATGGATTGACATAGCTCAACAATCAACAAATTCTGATGACGTCTGGAAAATCGCCATTTCGAGCTAGCAGAAAATAGTGTCTCTGTAATAAACTCACTCTCTGGTTCTCCTGATCGTGGCTCTCTAAACGTTTCAAGGCTATTACCAGATAAAATTGCTTCTAAATACTGTACCCTATTCTCCAAATGCAATATGTATTCATGATTGTTTGATTTGTCAACTGTTGGTAATCCAAATGGCTCGGAATTAACCATTGTCTTTTGCCTCTTTGCACAGTCTCCATAGAATGAATAACCGGCATTATTATGGTATCTGCCTGCACCATTAGCGGCGGCCCCACCGCTGCCCACACCAGAAGCTCCAGCTCCAGCACCGGCACCAGCGGTGGCTGCCGTTGTTGCATTGGAAAATGTACATTCCTTTTTCTGTCGTGTGCAGGTAGCACATGGTGAAGTTCCGGAACACTTAATCTTGTGGTTACGACACCTGTCACAAGCCTTACTTACTCTCAACCTAGGCTTGGAATAGTCGTTTGTTTGCCGAAGAGGCTGTAAAGGTTGCGTTATATGTGCGTTCATCGATACTAGCGGCTCCAGTGATTGCGACTGCGACTGTGGTTGTGACTGCGACTGCGATTGCAACTGCGATTGAACCCGGTAATGTGGGGAATTGGCCTGTGATGGTGAAACTTGTTGTGATTGTCTATACGAGTATACAGGAGGTAATTGAACAGCTGGATATGCTGAAAACCCCGCTGCTGATGCTGCCAGATTCGTTGGTTTGTTAACCGTTTCTGGTAAATTCAACTTCCGCAATGTCTGATTAGACGTGGGATTTGACATAGCTTTGTATACCAACCAGCTTTCACAAGTATATAAGCTCTTATAAGGTATAACCTTTCACCAAGTTGACATTCAATTAAAAATCCTCAAACCCTTTTCTTTTTTACTTTATCCAACAGAAGGTAGCGTTACGCAAGAAGAAGAAGAAGAAGAAGAAGAAGAAGAAGAAGAAGAGTGAAAGCTTTGACCCTCTGGCCAAATGTCCTATTATATTGTGTCATGTGTAGATGTGTATATGCGTGATATATAGCCAGTTTATGGTTGCCCCGGTCCTTGTGTTAAATCAAATACAACTTTGTTAACCTTGTGCTTGTCAAACAAATCAAAAGCTTGTTTTGCATCAATTAACTTTGCTTTATAATCTATAAAATGAACAAAATCATTCTTCACCTTTTCAAAGATTTCCAAAGCTTCTTCAAATAAGCTCCATCCGTGACATCTTCCAAATGATATATTAACGTTTTTTAGATAACATTCTAAGCCATTGAACGGTAATGGCTCGTGCCCCATCCCTAATGAAGATATGAATCCATTTCGACGTACAGACTCATAAGCGGTTCTCAATGCAGCTGACGCGCCTACAACTTCCAAGACTGCGTCAAACCCTATATTATCCAACTCGCTTTGGATAAACTTGTTCAATGCATCGGGATCCGTTTCAAAATTGATCGTCTCAAAGGCACCTAATCTCTTGGCCTCAGCCAATCTCGCAGGAACACTATCAACAACAACAACTTTTTCGAATCCAAAATACTTCAATACTCGTAATCCACATAAACCAACAGGTCCAGCTCCAATCTGTAGAATTGAAACATCTTTGAAATTTTGCGGCGACACGTTTCTAGCTGATGAAATCTTCAAGAAATCCATAATCTTCTTCACCCCATAGTAACCAGTAATGAATATATCTGCCATCATTACATAAACGGAGGCGTCTATTTCTGGCTGCCCCTCCTCATTTTGAGGGAGATTCAATAGAGTTTTCTCTGCGTTTGGAATACGTACATACTCTGCTTGTCCTCCATCTAACCCAATCTTCCCAAATGTATTGGTTTCGTTACATTGTCCCGAATACCCATTGCGGCAATACCAACAATGGCCACATTGAATGGTAAACGAGCTTAAAACTTTGTCTCCAATCTTGAACTTGGTCACTTGGTCACCCTTGGCAACAATTTCGCCCAAAAACTCGTGCCCCAAAATTGTATTCACGGGACCATTTATATGGCCACGATATGCGTGTAAGTCTGTTCCACAGAGCCCAGAAAATTGCACCTTAACAATGGCATCGTCTGGTTTCTCAATCTTGGGGGTGGCACGATCTTCCACTTGAACATCAAATGGTCCATGATATACCACCGCCTTCATCACCTCTGGCAATTCCGTCATTTTTACCTAATATAGAGACTAGAAAACTTACAATATTAACCCTAAATTGACTCTCCCTTTATACTTGTCAATGAAATTTTTCAAATCAATCATTTTTTGCGGGGGAAGAGCCGAGAACCGAGAGCGGGTCTGTTCTTAGCGGCTAAAAACAGAAACTCGGAAAATTAACGCCGAGCGAGCGACTCTCACTATCGAGCACGACACTATCGAGCAGAGCGAGATAGTGGAGCAATACATGGTAGCTTGTTACAACACTAGCTTGTTGCAACACTGTTTACAAAGCGTTGCTCCACTATCTCGCTTCGCTCGATAGTGTCGCTCGATAGTGTCGCTCAATAGTGTCTGTGGCAGCTAGTGTGCTCCACTATCTCGCTTCGCTCGATAGTGTAGCTCGATAGTGTCGTGCTCAATAGTCTCGGTCTATCTACTAACGACTAGACTCGTTTCACTCGTCTAGTCTCTGTCGCTCTGCTCAATAATGTCAAGGTAAAAAAGTTATGCTATATATTTAAAAAACGTTGACCAAATTGCATTGGTCAAGTTTTTCACGATTTTTGCATAGCGAAACATGCGAGTTATACAATTTGAAGCCCAAAAGACTAAAATGTTGAGACAGATGATATTGCCAATAATGGCATAGACCAAATATATCAACACTGTAGTGATTTTTGTAAATGAACCTCTATAACTGGGAAACGACAGACGAACTGCTTCCAGGAGTTTGAATATCAAAGTATCTGTATCTATCGAGCATTGTACGTTGTCGTCTTGTTTTGCACATGAGGTTGTTAACAAGGATGCAAAATAATTTTGGCAGATTAGCTGGAAATGTTGCCAGGTTGTTGAATTGCGAAATGTATTCAAGTTGTAAAAATAGAAAATGTTCATATCATGTTCCTGTAGTAGCTCATGGGTATGCATCAAACCACTATTATCATGTAGCACAAAAGTCATCAAATCTTTCAAAAAATTATCGCTGAATGTGATTGAATTGGTAAAGGAGAGCATGGTATTGATAAGGGAGCGGAAATAAGAGTGCATTGTCATGAGGAAGAAAACGATTCTCACAACTTTGATAAGGAACTTGGCGGTCCTCGCGAGTGCTTCCTTGATCAAATGACCAATATTCTCTAATGTCAATATTTGCCATATTCGCGTATAGTGTAATATTAGCAACGGTATACAGTTAAAATACCATTTCACCTCATAGTATGTATGACCAGAACCCTGCCGTTGCCTTTCTTGTTGAAAAACTGTGATAATTGCATCAACCGTTTGACTCCGCTCCTCAGGAGACAAAGTCGCCAAGTATTGGTTTATTTGGTCCTGTTGGAATACCTCCAACAACAGCGTATCTAAGTTTTCAAAAATATCTATATTATTTGGATCCATCGCAACAAGAACAACTGTCGTTGCAATAGTAAAGCTTGCTCTACTGACAAATGTAAAGTAATCAGCTCCTATAGCCCTTTACCATTTGAAAAAGAAAAAATATCTTGTCTCCCTTTTTTTTTTTTTTGGGGCATTGAGATTAGAAAGGGGTCCAAAAATGTATGAGCTCAATAAAGGATTAGATGTTTTACGTAGAGATAAAGAGAGAGACTCACACTATCTCGCTCTGCTCGATAGTGTGAGATTGTGTTTAATAATAGGTAACTAAAGAAAGAGATCTACTTGGTAGTATTGCTACGAAATGTTACTCACACTATCTCGCTCTGCTCGATAGTGTGAGATAGTGTGAGATTGTGTTCTATATTGGTGCTCCTTTGGCAACTTGTTCGAAATCGGATGTTTTGATACCCAATATTCGTTTAGCTGCTGTTTTATTACTATAAGAATGAGGGTCTTGTTGTGAAAAGTTCAATAGTTTTTTGATAAATTCAAAGCATTTCATCACATCCTCTAGATCAACCTCGACTACTTTAGTAATGAAATTTTCCGGCATTTTCATGTCGCTGAAAGTACTTTTACCTTCAAACACCACCATTACCAAACAAGTGGCAAAGAGGACATTCATGTCGTAACAAAGTATGATAGGCAAACTTGACAAAAGTTCGATTAGTCTTGTTGTTCTCACCATAATATCTTTCCTCTTTTCGTAAAATGTCTGGTTGATTCCCGCATGCATTTTGTTGAGTATCTTATGTTGTAGCAAGTAGGGCGACGGGAAACTTAGATCAAAATTAAGTTTTCGCAAAATCAACTCTTCTCGGTACAATAATTGATCTCTCCATCTCCAAAAATATTCACTTTGTTCGTCAATTTGTGGTGGCGGCGGTGGCGGTGGTTGTGCCGCAGAATGATTAGCTGTGTTTGGTGGGAATTTGGATGATGACGATGACGATGATGATGATGTCCTGGGTGCTTTTATATTGCACGCATATAAACTGATCGTATCCAGCTGTCGTACGCAATCATTAAGTTTCCCGGAGATCGCTAATGCAGCTGAAGCAACGTAATATTTTGAGGAAGTTATTGGTACCCGCATGTAAAACCTATGAATATAAACAGTTGCAGCTAATATTGTAGGAGCATCGACTTTTAGTTTCAGACCTAGCTTTATTAGAAAATCGTGCATTGACTCCTTGATTCTTAGCTCTTGAGATATAGTTAGCTTGGAGTCTAGTCGCGTTGGTGATCTTGTTAAAACTGCTGACTCTGGAAATATCCATGGCGCTAGTTTCCGTTTTTTCCTTACTTGAGATGATGACTCGGACCTAGAGCCCAGTTTTTTATTTGTGGTGAAAATACCTATACCACTTTCTGTAGCATCTGTGGCCATAATACTGATTCTTGGCCGAACTTCTAGTCAACTTGATGCTCTACTATATATGATACTTGATGCTCTACTGATTATGTTTTTCAACATGATGCTCTACTATTTATGTTTCTTATGTTTTTTTTTTTTCTGGCGCTTCTTTTTTTTTCTTGTCTGAGGAAGGATTCGAACTTGGACATGAACAACTAAATGGAAAAGAAGTTTTGAAACGCAAAGCAAAATGACCGATTGCACTGTTTGAGAAAAGTAGAAGCGATTGCAACGTTTAAAAGAGATCCACTATCGAGCAAAGCGAGATAGTGGAGTATCACTTTGTAGCGATACTAGTAGCATCACTTTGTAGCGATACTAGTAGCATCACTTTGTAGCGATACTAGTAGCATCACTTTGTAGCGATACTAGTAGCATCACTTTGTAGCGATACTAGTAGCATCACTTTGTAGCGATACTAGTAGCATCACTTTGTAGCGATACTAGTAGCGACACTATGGAGCAACATTTTATAGAGATACTGGTAGCGACATTATCGAGCAAAGCATTATGGCGATACTAATAACCCTACTATCAAGCAATACTTTATAGTGATACTAGTAATAACACTATTTCGCTCTGCTCAAAGTGTTGCTCGATAGTGTTGTTCGATAGTGGAGCAACACTTTATAGCGATACTACTGAGCTCCACTATCGAGCAATACTATATAGCCATACTAGTAATAACACTATCTCGCTTTCCTCGATAGTGTTGTTTGATCTGCTCGATAGTGTTGACACGCACACGACCCTCTTCTCTGAAAAAAAAAAATCAACTTGAAAAGTTTTCCATTGACGTAGGAAGAGTATAGTAAAAGCGTGATTTGTTTAAACAGTTCCTTCTGAACCTCACCCAGTCATGACTGATTCTACCTTTATGCATTTGGTGAGACCAAATGTCACTGCCCCGGCAGCGGGATCGGCGAATGGACCAGCCAAGATAAAGATCCATGGACCTGCGTATCTCACCATTTTGGAAATTGTTTCTCAACAAGTATTGAATAAACGTATAATTGGAACTTTGCTAGGTATGAGGTCGGATAACGGGTTGGAGATTGAAATAAGAGACGCATTTATGGTACCCATCACTGAAACTGGAGACTCGATTGCCATTGAAGACCAAGCTCACAAAACATTATACCAGTTATACAAAAAGGCACATCCCAAGGAATCAGTTTTGGGCTGGTTTGGAAGTAGTAGCAAGATAGACGAGACAACAAGTTTGATACACGATTTCTACTCAAAGGGAATTGATCGCGCTTTTCCGCACCTCGCCATCTACTTGAATGTGGAATTTTTGAATGATGAAGGTAAAATAGTAGCACCCACAGTAAAGACATATATTGGAGCAGCAGTTGGGAAACCCATAGCCAAATCAAGCGTGCAAATTGGTTGGAATAAGACTGCCAGTACAAATAACTCGTACGTTTTCACGCCAATACCGAACGAACTTATTAACGGTACGACTACTGAAAAAATTGCATTTAAAACATTACAAGAGGCAACATTTGAAAAAGCCAACAACACCACACCACCGCAAGCGTCGCAGATTTTGAACGGAGACTTATCCTACTTGTCTAAAAACTTGCAAGAAGTTGGAACTAGAGTTGACGGTTTGTTGGAGTATATCAACACTAATGCACAACATAGTAATAGTGACGAAAACATCGATTTGTTAAGAAAATTAAGCAACACTTTATTGACCAAGCCACCAATCTTGAGTAACGTCGATCAGTTGAGTAATGCGTTTGCTAATCACAACCAAGATGTTATAATGATTGAGTTAATGACTAAAGCTGTTAAAGATCAAATTGAAATGAGTGCAAAATTAACTGCTGCAGCAGAAGCCGAAAAGAGATACTAAGCGGGAATTTACTGTCATAAACACTATCTAGCTGTCATCAACACTATCGAGCAGAGCGAGATAGTGGGGCAACACTTTGTAGCTTATTACAACACTGACTAGCTCGATAATGGAGCAACACTTTGTAGCTTATTGGAACACTAACTAGCTCGATAATGGAGCAACACTTGTAGCTTATTGCAACACTAACTAGCTCGACAATGGAGCAACACTTTGTAGCTTATTGCAACACTAACTAGCTCGATAATGGAGCAACACTTTGTAGGTTATTGCAACCCTGACTAGCTCTATAGTGGAGCAACACTTTGCAGCTTATTACAACACTGACTAGCTCTGCTAGATAGTGGAGCACACTGACCAGCTGCTATTGACGAAAAAGAGTAGAAAGAGTGAAAAAGGGTAAAAAGGGTAGAAAAGAGCTAGGAGTGGTACAACATTGACTAGCTCTGCTCGATAGTGTTGCTCGATAGTGTTTATAAAATGTTGCTCGATAGTGTTTATAAAGTGTTGCTCGATAGTGTTTATAAAGTGTTGCTCGATAGTGTAGTCAATAGTGTAGTCGATAGTGTAGTCGATAGTGTAGTCGATAGTGTCTACAAAGTGATGCTCCACTATCTCACTTTGCTCGATAGGGGTTGCTCGATAGGGATTGCTCGATAGGGGAGCTTGCTACAAAGTAATGCTCCACTATCTCGCTTTGCTCGATAGGGGAGCTTGCTACAAAGTAATGCTCCACTATCTCACTTTGCTCGATAGGGGTTGCTCGATAGGGATTGCTCGATAGGGGAGCTTGCTACAAAGTAATGCTCCACTATCTCGCTTTGCTCGATAGGGGAGCTTGCTACAAAGTAATGCTCCACTATCTCACTTTGCTCGATAGGGGTTGCTCGATAGGGATTGCTCGATAGGGGAGCTTGCTACAAAGTAATGCTCCACTATCTCGCTTTGCTCGATAGGGGAGCTTGCTACAAAGTAATGCTCCACTATCTCACTTTGCTCGATAGGGGTTGCTCGATAGGGATTGCTCGATAGGGGAGCTTGCTACAAAGTAATGCTCCACTATCTCGCTTTGCTCGATAGGGGAGCTTGCTACAAAGTAATGCTCCACTATCTCACTTTGCTCGATAGGGGTTGCTCGATAGGGATTGCTCGATAGGGGAGCTTGCTACAAAGTAATGCTCCACTATCTCGCTTTGCTCGATAGTGTCTATCTCGCTTTGCTCGATAGTGTCTATCTCGCTTTGCTCGATAGTGTCTATCTCGCTTTGCTCGATAGGGATTGCTCGATAGGGGAGCGACATTAACAAAAGCCACAATAATACCACTTTGCATGACAATAGATTTACTTTTATTCACTTTATCAAAAATACTCTTGTATACTCTGCGACCAGGTGATCCCTGGCCAAACGTGACCAGCCGACAAGATTTAAGGCGAAGATCAACTTACAAAGAGAAAAGAAAGAATTATTTATTTTAGCTTTTACTGCAGATGGCCAAATCCGTCGTCACTACAACCGGTCCTCTACTTGTCCAATTTCTCCTCTCCCTAATTTTTCCCATTCTCCCCCACTCTCCTCATCCTCTCTCCCCCACTCTCCTCATCCTCTCTCTCTCTCTTACTTCTATTGCCCCCCTGTTGCCCCCCTGTTGTCTCACTCCCCGATTTTTCAGATTTTTCAGATTTTTCAGATTTTTCAACACAAAAATAAAAACGCTTAGTAAACGAAAAAAAAAAAAAAATAAAAAAATAAAATGAGATGAGAAGAGCTGAGGATTCACACGATATATATCATATTTAATTATACATCAGTCTTTTGATAAAGCAAGGTTTAGTAATTGAACTTGGTTTATTAAGCAAAAGTTGGTCTTTAATTTTTTGAATCATCTCATTAGAGAAAAAAAGAAGGCGAACCAATCTTATACAAGCTTAAGCGCCAATCGAGGAGGAAAAGCCCATCGGCTTTTAATATATCGAATTTCCCTTTATATATATATATATATATATACTTGTGTCCTCACCCTTTACGCCAACACAATAGAACACAATACGTTTTTCAACCAAGTGCAGATAGACCAAAGGTCCACCATTCGAAAGGTCTACTTATATTATTGCAAAAAACCTACAATTTTATATATTTTTCAGAGTTTCTTCAATATCATATTATGAATAGGTTTCGATTTCGAAATATTCAAGATATATTGTTATTCACCTTCTTTGCAAATCATTTTATTATATAGATACAAGTGAACAAGGAGAAAAATAACCGAGATTCTAATTTAAACGACAATTTTCACAATAAAAGGTCACACCTGGACAGTTTTATAGCTCAAGGAAGAGAGGATAATATATTTTTACTGACAAAGGGTTGATCTTGATTTTTTTTTTTTTTGGCATTTTTTGAAGAGGAACTTTATATTCAAGAATGGCCAAAAGTTCTGCTAAAATAGGCTATCATAATACTAGTGGTAAAGCTAAATCGGAACCGATGAAGTCGTCAATTTCAAAAAATTACCATAATCATCACCAATCAACTTTTGGTACCAAGAATTTAAAAGCGTTAAAGAGGAGAAAATTTAGCATTGCCAATTCCACAACCTCCTCGTCCTCGTCCTCGTCATCATCATCATCTTCTTCTTTGCTGCAGAATTTGTCAGATGACGATCTCGAGACTATCAGGGCTAAGAAGAATGTTTTAAACTCTGCAGAATCTAAGCATTATCTTAGTTCTGGGTCAGATTCTTCTTTGACACAATTTTCCGATGAGGATAACAATATAGAGGAACTTGATGGCGGCAACAGCAGCAACAGCAACAGCAACAGCAACAGCGGCGACGTCGGCAGTAAAAGCAATAGCAACAAGTCAAAAAGTCATAAATTGAGGTTATTGGTAGGTAGAAAGGGGGTCTGTAAAAAGACAAAGAGTTATGCAAGAAAAGGAAAACCAAGAAAGACTTTTGATTGGACGAAAGGTAATACAAATGAGGTGTTTGGAATGTCATCTGAAGAAGATAATGTTGAAGAAGAAGAAGAAGAAGAAGAAGAAGATGACGACGACGACGACGATGACGATGACGATGACGAAGAAGATGAAGAAGATGAAGATGAAGAGGAAAAACCTAATTTAGTAGAGCTTTATTCGCTTATGGAGAAAGGAAAAAATTTAAAGGTGTACGAGTCAAATGAGAGTGCCAACGAAGGTAATTCAGATGAGGAGGAGGAGGAAGAGGATGTATACAGCTCATCCGATGACGATTCTGATGTCGATTTTGTCAAATTACAGGCACAACAAAAAGCTCAGTCTTTGAAAGCGGTTAAAGCTATGGAAAACCCCAAGAAAGAATTTACAAAGGAAAACAATATTGGACCCAAAGATGATAACACACTGATACCGAAAGCATTACCAAAGCGTAGAAAAAGTAGTTCTATCAAGTTTGGGCGAAGGAAATCTGATGCAGTACTTCCTGATTTGAATTTTACATTTGAATTTGAGCCAAAGCAAGAGCACGAGGAGCAAGAAGCTGCAACTGTGCCATCTAAAGTAGAAGAAGAGGATATTGGGGAAGAGATTGTTTACTCTCCCTTGTCCTTAGGTTTGGAAGCTAGTAATCAGTTTGACTTTGAACATGATACTAATTTGCTATACTTTCCCAAAATCAATGAGACTGAGTTGAACTCGGAAGATGATTATGAAATTGATGACAATGAATTACTTGCCACTTTGCAGGCAGAGAATGATATTGACGAGTTTCTACCTAGTGCTGCTAATGCATCGTCAGGTTCCTTAATCACCCAAACTGGAAACGAGCAAATGACCAAAGATAACTCTGTAATATCATCGACTGGTGAAGATGATATAAGTGGAGACGGAGGCGATGATGATGACGAGAATGACCCGTTTTTAAAAGAAGAAGAGAAATTTTTGGTTAACGAATTCGAGACAAATGGGTTTGATGATTATGAAGGAGGTGATGAAGATGAAGAGGAAGAAGAGGAAGAAGAAGAAGAAGAAGAAGATGATGATGATGAGGATGATGAAAAGTTTGCTTTTGACGATAGTGAGTATTCGACATCAAAAAAGATTATTAATTTATTCAAAGGGATTGGCGAGGATAAAACTAAACCAATAGTGCAATATGAAAGCAGTGCTTCTAATCCCAGTGAATATGATGAAGACGACTATGTTGACTTTGTTGAATTTGATATGCCTTTATTTGAAGGAGACGACGATAAGGATGAGAAGGAAAAAGAAAAGAATAAGAGCAAGAGCAAGAATAAGAATAAGAATAATATCAATAACCGAAGATCCAAAGCTGAAAAGTATAGTATGCTTCATCAACATAACAGTGATGAGGACGACGAGTCATACTTGTGGAACTATTTCTTTAGTTCCGATAATAATTCCCTGAGTGACGCCGAGCAGCAAAATGAGGCTGAGAAAGATGACCCATTCAAACATGATGTTGACGATATTGAGAATAGCAACAATAAAACAACGAAAAAGAAGCAGGGTTTATATGGTACAAGCTTTCCATTTAAACATTATCGAATGATAAACGATGACAACAAAAATGCTAATAATGATGGTAATGACGTTGATGAGGGTGATGATGATGATAGCGATTATAATCATGGGTACGAGAGTAGCGAATCCACTGATGTTGATGAGAATTTACCAAAAGTTTCAAGTGCATCTGGAGTTGGTTCAAAGAAAGCTACCGAAGTTCTTTCTTCCAAGACTGCCGATTATAGGCCTCCATTATTAGGCTCGTGGGTAACCATTGATAGTAAACCATTTGGCATAATAGATGGGTTGAGCACTCGTACGTTACTACCGAATAAATCGCAAGAGCCAAGGTATGGCGGAATTCCACAAACATCGTCTGTCGCTTCGAGAGCTGGTACTTCGTCAGAATCGTCATTGTCATTGCCTAGTGGCTTTCCACCAACCTCCACTGGTCAGACCACCACCAATTCGCAGTCTACACCAGTAACTACATCATCATCTTCCTCGCAGTTTGGATCGAGAAAGAGTATAGTGAACAATTTCAACCCTGCTGGGCAACAGCAACAATCAATAGCTGCCACAGACGATCTGGTATTGGTGTTGGACGATTTGTTGAATGTTGACGATTTAGACAACCATGATGAAAACGATGCCCAAATTTGGAGAGATTTCAATAACCAAAAAAGTCGAGTGCCCTTGGGGGCTTTTAGAAATAAGTCATCGATACAATATGCTCATCATCACCATCACAATCACCACCAACAGCAGCATCAACCACAATCACACCGTCATTCCCACCACAACAAAAAGCGTCGAAAATTCTAGCTGTCACGACACTAGCAAGCGAAGCGAGCTAGCGTCCTATCGAGCAATACTTTAAAGCAACATTATCGAGCAGAGCGAGATAGTGTTGCTTTTAAGTAATCAAACCCGTTTTGAAAGAGAAGTATTAGTAGTAGTTGTTGTAGTAGAAGAAGAAGAAGCTAAGGGGCTGGCTTCTTTAAGTTTTATGTATACGTTTGGTTTTTTTGAAGTCTAGCGACACTATCGAGCAGAGCGAGATAGTGGAGCAGCACTGCAAGTAATTGGAGGAGCACTTGACACTATCGAGCAGAGCGAGATAGTATCGATAGTGGCAGTTAGTCAGTGTTGCTCCACTATCTCGCTCTGCTCGATAGGACACTATCTCGCTCTGCTCGATAGGACACTATCTCGCTCTGCTCGATAGGACACTATCTCGCTCTGCTCGATAGGACACTAGCTCGCTTCGCTTGCTAGTGTCGTGACAGCAAGAATTGGAGGAGCAGTTGCAAGTAATCAAACCCGTTTTGAAATGGATTTGATTGAGGTGGTATACATGACACCAACGTAGTGAGGCATCCACATCTAGTGCGATATACATCCAATCAACATACAAAACAATACCATTGTTGTATCTTTTAGCAAAAAAATACAATTGTAATGTTCTTTTGTCTATTGTATTGTTACACACATAACACGCCATTGTAGTTAACCTTGGCAATGCATTTGAATAGCAATGCTTCAATGTAGAACAATAAATTTGGAAGAATGTATGGTATTCTAATTTTCAACACCAAGAGTTTTCTACTTATCTACTATACCTACTATATCTTTTCTACTCTTCTACTTTTCTACTATATCTACTATATCTATTTACTACATCTTTCTACTGTATCTCTTCTATATCTTTCTACTGTAACTCTTCTATATCTTTCCATTTCCTTTTCTAGTGCATCACATATCTTCAACACATTGGTATGTTCAATATTTATTTAATTATTCTACAAAGTATTAACCCTTGCATCGAAGCTTTCTAAAAAGTTGAAATGAATTTTACATGTTGACAGCACTCTTTTAGGCCCATTTAGGCCTGTTTCGGCCTGGTCACAATATGGATTTCTCAACAATAGAAGGCTTTTTTTTTGACAATAGAGGTTTTAACAATAGAGGATTGGTTGTTCGCCGCTGATAAAAGACAAAGTCAAACACAAAGACACATTACAGGGAAAGAATGCCTTTTCTTTCACAATAGTTGAAACCATGCGGGAGAGAAAATAGGGTANGGGGGGGGGGGGGGGGGGGGGGGGGGTCATAGTAAGGTTTGCTTTTTCCGTGTTGCTACGTTAATTGCTATTTGAACCCCTTCTTCAAGGTCAGTGCTGCTCCACTATCGAGCAGAGCGAGATAACAATGACACTAGCTGCCATCGAGGGTTGGCTGCTTTTGCTGATAAGAGACAAAGTTAAACACAAAGAGACAATTTACAAAGAAAGAATGCCTTTTCTTTCACAATAGTTGAAACCATGCGGGAGAGAAAATAGGGTAAGGGGTGTATGCGTGGGGGTGGGGGGTGTACAGTGTATGTGTTTGCTTTTTCCATGTTGCTACGTTAATTGCTATTTGAACCCTGTGTTTAAGGTTTGGAAAGAGTAGACGCAGAGACTCAGAGACGTAGAGACTCAGAGACGCAGAGACTCAGAGACTCAGAGACGCAGAGACGTAGAGACTCAGAGACTCAGAGACTTAGAGATTTAGAGACCCAGAAACTCAGAGACTCAGAGACGTAGAGACGCAGAGACTCAGAAACTCAGAGACGCAGAGACGCAGAGACGCAGAGACTCAGAGACGCAGAAACTCAGAGACGCAGAGACGCAGAAACTCAGAGACGCAGACACCCAGAAACCCAGGGATTCAGAGACCCAGAGACCCAGAAACCCAGAAACCCAGGGATTCAGAAACCCAGGGATTCAGAGACCCAGAGACCCAGAGACCCAGAGACCCAGAAACCCAAAGACCCAGAGACCCAAAGACCCAAAGACCCAGAAACCCAAAGACCCAAAGACCCAAAGACCCAGAGTTTTACCCCCCTTGCTTCCCCCTCTACAGCCAATCAAGCTTGCTTTCTAACTATTTCGGGAAACTAGATGTTTAAGCTACAATCTTCGCGATCTTCGGTACATTAATTCCGGCAAAAAAAGAAATAAAAAACCTGTCTAAAAACAGGAACTAAAAAGAAGGAACTGAAAAGCTAATGGGCATTCTCCTTGAAATAACAATGCTTTAAAGTATTTTTTTTAGTTTGGAAAAATGTCTCGATTTGTCTACATTGTTACTGACATTTAGACGCTTAATTTGGTGCTCTTCTTTTTTTGGCTTTGCGCTTTTGGCTGAAAGACACCACAAGGCTTGGGTTATCATTATGAGCTATAATTGGTGTGGCTTTTTTGGGGCGGGAGGGCGGAGGGAGGAGGAAGAATCTTTTCCAGGGAACAAATTATAATCAGATTATAAGGGGGAAGAAAGGTCGCTTTGCAGCTGGCGATGTAATACACAGGTCCCGGTTTCGTCTTACCGTTATATTTGATGTTTTTTTTCTTTTTACATTTTTATCACCACTGACTTATTAGTTTAAGTTCAAGTCTCCTACTACTTTTGAAATTGATTTCTCCAATTACATAGGCTTCAACGGATACTGATTGTACTTGATGGGCAAGTTACTCAGATACACATCAAAGAGGAGTGTAATAATATATTATACTTTTGCATTAATAGGTCTAGTTGGTATTTTGTCTTGGTATCAGCATAATTCGCAACTTCTATCCGATGATATTGATTTGCATTCTACTTACGACATATATGATGAGTACTACAAGCTACCGTCGTTAGTTCAAGATGCAACAGCATCCCATTCTGATGAAGAACCTGAAGTTGGTCAATTTAAAAACACAGAAATATATTCTTTGCTTCTCGATAGTTACAATCTCACAAAAGAGTGTGATAAACACTCTTCAATTTATGAAGAGATTTTCAGTAATCATGGTGTTAGCACTGTTTTGGGCCAACTTGATTTTGCCAAAAGATGTGACTTGTTTTTTACAAATGTGTTTTTGAAAAATCACAATTGGAGATTCAACACTAGTCAAAGTTATGATATTACTTATGATGGGCCTTACGAAAAGTTTTGCCAACAGAACTCAAAGAAACTCAAAACTGAATTTATCAAAGAGAGAGCTCGCTTTAACAAGTTTTCCGACTTTACAAGGAAAACATATGCCGAAAACAGGCAACGAGAAATTGAGCAAACGGTTGTTGATGAGTTAACTATATTCAGACTATATAACAAATGTTTTGTCACAGATGATGATCCAATTCAACAGAGCAAAATCAAGAATTTCATTACTCAACAGAAACAAATGGTGGATAAGATTGGTAGTAGTAATCCATCAAAAAAATTTGAGTTTACTAAATACGAAGATTTGTTTCAAAAAGGAAAAGAAAAACTGAATCGCAATAATTTTGATCATAGAATCTACCCTTGGCTATCCCTTGAAACTCCTATTTTTGAGAGGTGGACGGGGAAGGTGTATAACGATATACCGAATTATAGAGAAATACTCAATGACCCATCACAACCTGGCAAAAGAAAGCTGTCGTTTTTTTCCAAACCCACAAACACTAATTTTTTCAAACAATATAAAAACGATTGCAATGGTAGGGGGATAGTTTTGACAGTTGCCGATAAGCACGTTGACTATACTGTCAATTTAATTCATCTTTTAAGAGCTTTGAATAATAAATTACCAATCCAGATTGTTTATTTTTATAATTTTAGTCAAGAATCCAAAAAGGCTATCCTTAGAGCTGCAAGAGACGACTATTCGCACTTGCCTGATTCGTTTAAAAATGTTGATTCATACTTTCCCTCGGATTACTTGGAAAACAACCACAAGACACGAGGACTACCCAAACAAGAAGTTTGGTTTGTTAATGCAGCAAACGTTTTAAATGAAAGGGATAAACAGAAATTTAATGGATTTGCCAATAAACTATTAGCGACTCTATTCAATTCGTTTAATGAGTTTATGTTGATTGACGCAGACACGGTAATGATGAAAAACCCAGAAACCTTTTTTGAGATGAAAGGTTATAAAGAAACTGGTACTCTTTTCTTTAAAGATAGATTTGTTTTACAAAAAAGAGATCTTGAAGAGGGCAAGTTATTCAATCGCGTTTCTCAGTCAACTGTTGATAAGCTAATGTTTGATGTTGAGCCAATGACAAACCATACATTACAACGAGAGTTTTTCCGTGGTTTAGTTCATACAATGGAATCAGGGATGGTTTTGTTGAATAGAGAAAAGCACTTTAGTTCTATCCTTATGATTACCCACCTCAACTTTATTAAACCAATCCGAAAAAAGAGCTATGGAGATAAGGAGTTGTTTTGGCTAGGTTTTGCATTCAATGGTGATGAAAATTACCATTTTAACAGCTATAGTGCGGCATCAGTAGGTGAATTGACTTTGCCTAGTGATTGGCAAAAACCGGATGGGACACCACACTACTCTCAGGAGCTTTGTTCTTCGCATCCAGCTCAGATTAGTGAAGAAGATGGACATTCGTTGCTCTGGATAAATTCGGGTTTTGGATATTGTCCACAAGCAAAATCGATTGATTTTAACAAGGAAAGTAAGATTGGTCGTAGGTTGACCTTTCTTCCACAGACTATGGAGGCATTTAAACAGTATTATTTTGACCCACTAAGGATTCGTCATGCCATTATCCCACCAGTAGATGACAAGTTGAACAAAAGATACAACTACAATGACGAGCCGACGGAGGGATGGCTAATGGATCGTGACTATTGTAAAAGGTATTTATGGTGCGCATACCTGAGCATAGGTGGGAAATTAGAAGGTGGAGATAAGGATAACAAGTTGGAAGGAAAAATCATTACCTTTAGTGATAAAGAGAGACAATTATTTGATTATTATGGTGATATTTGGATGGGTATGGAGTAGTTTGTAATGGTGGGAAAATGTTGATGTGCAAATGCATCTATATATGGTGTGAAAAAGGGGAACAAAAGTAAAGCAAATAAATGTAAAGTAATTAGAGGGTTATATGGTATTGATTGTTTCATTATCGATAGACTATCTCATGAGACTATCTCGCTTTGCTCGATAGTCTCACTACTCCCTCTTCAGACTATCTACTCCCTCTTCAGACTATCTACTCCCTCTTCAGACTATGTACTCCCTCTTCAGACTATCTACTCCCTCTTCAGACTATCTACTCCCTCTTCAGACTATGTACTCCCTCTTCAGACTATCTACTCCCTCTTCAGACTATCTACTCCCTCTTCAGACTATGTACTCCCTCTTCAGACTATCTACTCCCTCTTCAGACTATCTACTCCCTCTTCAGACTATGTACTCCCTCTTCAGACTATCTACTCCCTCTTCAGACTATCTACTCCCTCTTCAGACTAT